TTATAGGACTTTGGTCTCGTGGCTGCTTCTTTACATCCTTGTTTGTAGAACTTCTGTTCAGCTGGATGTTGGGCCATTCTGAATGGTGGTGGTTCTGTGGTTGTCATTTTGATGTGGTTGTGGGAGGTTCCCAGAACCACGTTTCCCTGGCCGCCCTCTTGACTGGAGATAACCTACAGTGAATTCTTGTCATGGAAGCTGCAACAGTTCAGTGCTGGGCTTTTCTGTAGGTTTGAATAATTTGTTATTTATCCCAAACTGCTATAACATGTCTCCTTCTAAGACAGAGAACCTGTTCAGACTTTTTGCCCAAGTGAAAACTCAAGACTTTAGGCGCATTCTCTCTGCCAGGGAATTGGGATTTGAATGATACAGGAGAAAACACCATCGAGAAATACATTGAAAGCTTCTGTTTTTTTCTCAGAATTTGAGCCATGACATTCATTAAATCCAGAGCTTGCCCAAAATGAATTGTTTTTGGTAACTAAAATCACCAGGGAATGAAGTAACATGTCGGGACATTTCCCTGTTATCTAAGCTGCATCCTTTGTGTGCCCAGTTTCACGGCAACCACTCTGTTGGGAGTCTTTCTGAGAGTCTCTGCCTTTATTTTCTTCCTGCAGCAGGGCAGGCTGAGCATCGTTTAACCTTTCCTGAAGGTCAGGTCTCATTTAGAATTACTTTGTTCCCAGCTTTATTGAAATGTTATGGACATCTAACACATGTAAGTGGAAGGTGTGCACTGTGGTAATTTGCTACACATATATATTGCAAAATGATTACCACCATGTTAGTTAATACCTCATTCCCTCCCCGTGTGTGTGTGTGTGTGTGTGTGTGTGTGTGTGTTGATAGCATTTAAGATCTACTTTCTTAACAACTTTCAAATACATACTAGAGTATTGTTAACTATAGTATACATTAGATTCCCAGAACGTACTCATGTTATAGGTGGGAGTCTGTACCCTTTGATGAACATCTCTCCTCTCCCTAGCCCTTGGTGACCACCGCTCTACTCTCTTTCTACAAGTTCAGCTTTTTTATATTTGCATATAAGTGAGAACATACAGTATTTGTTTTTCTCTAGCTGACCATTTCACTTAGCATAATGACCTCCAGGTCTGTCCATGTCGCAAAAGAGAAGATTTCTTTCCTTTTTATGGCTGAGTACTGTTTTATTGTGTATAGTACCAACCACGTTTCCTCCTCCTCCTCCTCCTCCCTCCTCCTCCTCCTCCTCCTCCTCCTCCTCCTCCTCCTCCTCCTCCTCCTCCTCCTCCTCCCCTCCTCCTCCTCCTCCTCCTCCTCCTCCTCTTCTTCTTCTTCTTCTTCTCTTTTAGAGGGAAAGGGAGAGAGATAGAAACATTGATGAGAGAGAACATCGACTGGCCGCCTCCTGCATGCCCCCCACTGGGGATCGGGCCCACAACCTGGGCCTGTGCCCTAACCGGGAATCAAACCAGCGACCTCTTGGTGCATGGGTCGATGCTCAATAATTGAGCTACACCAGCCGGGCTAACCACATTTTCTTTTTTTTTTCTTTTTTTTTTTTTTTATCCTCACCCAAGGACACTTTTCCATTTTTTTTGTTCAGATAGAGCGGGAGGGAGAGAGAGGAAGAGAGAAAGAGAGAAACATTGATGTGAAGGGACACATCGAGTGGCCGCCACCCGCACGACCAACCAGGGCCGGGGACAAACCGCAACCGAGGTACGTGCCCTTAGCGGGAACCGAACCCGGATCTCTCTGTACCACAGGCCGACGCTCCAACCGCTGAGCCAAACCGGCCAGGGCCTAACCACATTTTCTTTATGCATCAGTGGACACTTAGGTTGTCTCCATGACTTGGCCACTGTGGAGAATGCTGCAGTGAACATGGTGTGCAGATATCTTTTCAAGTTAGTGTTTTCATTTTCTTCAGATAAATACCCGAAAGTAGACTCTGGATTATATGCTAGTTCTATTTTTAATTCTTTGAGGGATCTCCATATTGTTTTCTGTAATAGCCGCACCCATTTGCATTCCCACCAAAGTGCACAAAGGTTCTCTTTTCTGCATCGTCACCAACATCGTCTCTTGTCTTTTTTATTACAGCCATTCTAGCAGGTGTGAGGTGATATCATTGTGGTTTTGATCGGCATTTCTCATGATTAGTGATGTCGAGCATCTTTTCATATACCTGTTTTCCATTATGTCTATTTCCGTTGGGAAATGTCTATTTAAATCCTTTCCCTATTTTTAAACAGAATTTGTGGAGTTATTTTTGCTATTACATTGTATAAGTTTCTTCTGTGTGTTTTCTGTTTACTCCTTATCTGGTGTTTGTAAGTAGGTTCTCCCATTCTGTGGGCTCCTCTCCATCTTCCTGCTTGTTTCTTCTGTCATGAGAACCTTTTAGTTTGATGTAGTCCCACGTGTTTGTTCTTGGTTGTGTTGCCTCTGCTTTTGGTGTCATATCCAAACATCTTTGCCAAGATCAGTGTCAAGGAGCTTCTCCTCTGTTTTCTTTCCGTCGTTCTATGGTTTGGGGTCTTACAAGTAAGTGCTTCGTCCCCTTTGAGTTAATGTTTGTGAGTGGTTAGGGGTTCAGTTTCATTCTTCTATGTGTATATCCAGTTTTCCCAGCACACTGATCAGGTTGTCCTTTTCCCCAGCGAGTCTTCGTGGCTCCCTTGTCAAATGTTACCTGACTGTATGTGTGTGGGTTTCCTCCTGGGCTCCTGATGCGAATCCGTTGGCTTGTGTTTGTTTTTATGCCTGTGTGTCTTTTACCTCCTCAATTAAAGGTATTCCTACGTATATTTTTAAATTTTAATATTTTAATTTTAGTGATCAGGTTGTTGCTGCAAATCCAGCGATGCCCTTGGGAGACTGATGAGATCCCTGCACCAAGGCCCTCATCTGGTGCATGTCAGCCCACTGCGCTCAGTTCCCTGCTCCGGTGGGCCTCTCCTCACTCCATATCCGTGCATGTACTGTTCATATCTGCCCCAGACAGGAGTTAGTCAGAGGTCCTAAGGGCTCTCTGAGTGGGCCTTCGTGTACGGACCGGAACATCTGCTTCTGACTGCTCAGAGGCACCTTCTGCTTCCTCTGTGGGCTTTGGCTGATTCTAGAGCTGCTGCTGTGTGTTTCATGACATACAGCCCATGGGGCAGAGCTTGCCAAGGGCCTCTGGCAGAGTGGCTTGCCGTGCATCGCTGGGCCCCCCTGGCGGCGTGGTCCTTGCTGCCAGGGGAGACGGCCGCGTCTCCTACTCTGCTAGGCTTTGGGGATGCCAGGTAGCACAGGCCACCTCTGCGCAGGCATGTCCAAGCCCGTGTGTCTGAGCCCCGGAGGGCCTGACTGTGTCTGCTGTCTAGGAGAACGCCAGCCTGTGCTAGATGGAGCGCATCCTGGCCCTCAGCGGCCCTGCTCTGCCACCTCAGCGTCCCTGCCCGTCTTTTTCCAGGTTCCTTCCACCACTCTGTCTCCCGTTTCCCCTCCTGCGCCTCGTGAAATAACCCCTGCTTTCTGCCACTTGCCTTGGCCTCAGCAGCCCACCGCCTGTGTGGGAAAGTTAGGGGACACCTTCAGAAGATCCGAGAAGGAAGGGCACTGAAGGTTCCTTGAGGTCAGGGAGACCTCCTGCAGTTCCTCTGGGCAGCCCCCAAGGTCACTGTGAGAGGGAATGCTGGCCACCTCGTGGTCTCCTGGAGTCCAGCATGAGCAGAGGCTGCAAGAGAGAGCGCCCCGTGACTGAGGAACTCTCCTCGGCCCAGGATGCTGAGCTTCGGTCTCCTCGGCAGGCCATATGGGGCCCGGAGCCGCCGTTGGGGCAGGCGTAGGGAGAAGGCGCGGCTCCCACCGGTGCAGGGCTGCAGGCCGGGGACCGGCCAGCTCCGGCCTCCTGTCCAGCCACAGTGTCTTCTTCTCTACACTGGGCTAGTCCCCACCTCACAGGGCTGTTGGAAAGGCCACACAAGGGAACGAGAAAGCTGGCACCCGTGACATGGGGGATGCTGACCTAGGCAGGGTCAGGTGACTGCACGGGTTTGTTTCCGGAGAGCTAGGATGTTCAGACAACTGTCTCAGGGCTGCAGAGACCCTCTAGCTGATACTTCTGAGTCCAGGGGCCTGGCTCTGGTCCTGGGGGGCTGCGAAGCCGTCCCGTGCCGAGTGTCGCGCAGCCTTTGCAGTGTAATCTGTTGCCATAGCTTGCAGCACTGCTAGGTGCTTCAGACACACTCCATGTCGCCCTCACCCGGTCCTGTGAGGGGTCTCCTGCACCCACTGGGCAGATTAGGAAACCGAGGCCAGACAGATTTGTCCTGGGCCTCAGGAAGAAAGCGGTGCAGCGGAGAGTCAAGCCCACACAGCCATATGGCTGGAGCCCGCACGCGCCTGTGCTTGTCTGTGTGGCTAAGGTCTGCGTGCCTGCTCTTTCCAGACATGGAGGGTGGGCGGGGTTTGGAGTGCATGTGGGCCTGAAGGCCTCCTGGCAGCTGAGGTCACAGACCATTCATTAAGGGTGGACATTCCTTTGTCATTTTCCATTTCATTGGCAGGATCAGGGTTGTATGGTGTGTGAGAGGTGTGCGTGCATGTGTGCATGTGTGTGTGTGCGTGTGCATGCATGTGTGCTTCCTCACATACCAGGGCTGATAGTGTGCTGGCTAATTCAGGCTGCCACAGCAGTCTTCTCTATGACAGAGCACATGTCCCACTGGCTAGTGCCTCACACCCACAAGCCCAGAGAGAGGAATTAAAATGCTAATTTTAAGAGACTACTCAGTCCTTTCCTGCGAAGCTGATGTCTACATTAACAACTAATTGATTTTTGTGCAAGGGCTGCCCTCACCCTGCGGCACGACTGCTTTGGAGAGTGAAGATGCCGACCCTAGAGGAGATTGTGGGGCAGATGATCCGGGAGAAGGGAAGGGCTGGACACTGAGCTGCTGTGCTCAGTCCCCGAAGCTCCTCAGGCCCCCAGGTTGTCACCTCTTCCTTCCCTCCCGCAGGTGCTGGAGACGTGTGTGAAGAACTGCGGCCACCGCTTCCACGTCCTCGTGGCCAACCGAGATTTCATCGACAGTGTTCTGGTCAAAATCATCTCCCCCAAGAACAGCCCTCCCACCATCGTGCAGGACAAGGTGCTCGCTCTGGTCCAGGTAGGGCGCTGCGACGGGCTGCTCCTCCGTGGGCCGCATGCCTGCCATCAGGTGGAGAAAGAATGGAGACTTCTGGGTTTAGATATTTGTTGCAAGATACTTCCCTCTTATACTCATCCCACTGGAACGAAACCCGAAACGGTGGCTGTCCCGCCGTTGACAGAGGCTTCACTGAAGTTTCCTGGGTGCCTCGCCCTCTGCTGCCCTCAAGGGCGGGTGGGCCCTGACAGGACTCAGCCGTCAGGGATGTGTGGAGCAGGAGGTGTGTAGACTAGGGTGGCGCCAGCTCCGGGGCAGGTGGGGTGTTGGGCAGGTGGTGTTCAGGAGGGGTTCACTGAGGAGATGGCATTTCTGCTGGACCCTGGAGGATGGCAAGGAGCTGGGTGGGAAGGTCAGCGTGCCAGAAGCATCACAGCAAACAGAACAGCCTGTGCAAAGGCCCAGACGCGCCGAAGAGGCCGTTGGCACGTTGGGAATGTATTCATTATTCATTGCTCTGTGACACATTATCCCAAGATTTAGCAGCTTAAAACAATCAATGTTTATCATCTCCTAGTTTCTGTGGGGCAGGAATTCAGGAGAAGCGTAGCCAGGTGGTTCTGGCTTACTCATGAGGTTGCAGTGATGCTGACCGGGATGGCCTCCTCTGAAGGCTTGGCTGGGGCTGGAGGAGCCACCCCAGGCGGCCAGCCCACGTGGCTGCGGGCGGGAGTCCTTACTTCCTGGCTGACCCTTGGAAGGGGGCCTGAGTTTCTTGCCATGGGGCCCTCCTAGTGTCCTTGCCACCTGGCAGCTGGTTTTCCCCAGAGCAGGGAATCCGAGAGAGCGTGAGGAAGATGCTGCAGTTCCCGATGGGAAGGGTCTCAGAAGTCACACCCCATCTTTCTGGTCAGTCTATTTGCTAGAAGGGAGTCATCAGGCCCAGCCTCGGAAGTCTGGGAATTGAGCTGTACCTCTTCAAGAGAAGAGGATGTTTTAAAACCGTCACACGGAGAGTAGACTGCAATGAAGAACGTGTGGGGCCAGGAGAGAAGCCCAGAAAGATGGCCAGGGCTGATGGATGGGCCACGCGTACCCTGAGGAGTTGGTGCTTTGTCCTAGAGGCAGCGGGGAGCCACGAGGTGTTTCCGAGCTGGCTGTGCAGTCAGACCTGGGTTCAGCCAGTGCACCCTGGTGACAGAGTGAAGGGCCCGTACTCAACAAGCACACCCAAGGTGTGGGTGGTGGTGTAGTGCAGGGACGAGAAGGGTCAGCAGGAGCCGGGAGGAGAGGAGACCAGCCCAGGGGTGGAGTAGGCTAAGAAGTCAGGAGGGGGTGTGATCCAGGGGCTAGACTTTGGTGGTAGTGGTGGCACCAGACGGAAGAGGGGCCTGAGCCAGGGAATCTGCCGGCTCTGTCCTTCTCACCTGTGTCTGGGCCTGAACCCTCCGGCACTCAGACGCTCCCCCATCTGGTCTGCAGTGCACAGTACACCCTCTCTACTGGTCTTCAGGCACCTCTGTGCTAACGTCTCCGTCACTCTCACTCCGAGCTCCCTAGAACCCGGACAGTCATCCCCAGGGGCTCGAGCAGCTGACTGTGTTGAGCAGGTGTTCAATACATTCAGCACATTGTTCTTGTTCTTTTTCTTTTGCTAATCTTCACCAGAGGATCTTTTCCCCGTTGATTTTTAGAGAGAGTGGAAGGGAGGAGGGAGAGGGTAGAGAGAGAAACATCACTTTGAGAGACATCAATTGGTTGCCTCCTGCACGTGCCCTACCAGGGGCAGGGATCGAACCTGCAACCCTCGGTGCACAGGCCGCTCTCACCCCTGAGCCAAGAGGCCAGAGCCCTTGTTGTCTTTCTTAATGAATGAATGAATGCAGTTTGCTGATACTCTAAGGGAGGAGTGTGGGTGACAGCAGAGCCCGGTGACATGCGTCCTTAGATTGTCCCTGTCCCTTCATTCTGCACACCAGCCCAGTCTCTCTCTCTCTCACATACACACACTCACAAGAGGTGCAAATCATCTCACCCCCTACCCTCTCACCCCCACCTGTGCCCCCTAAACCTCCTCATTCTGGGCTGTCCCCAGCATGCTCCCTTGCCTCAACAGCCCCAGTATTTGATGTCAAGAATATGAATAGTGGCTTTTTCTTGCAAAATGGGAGGCACCCAGCCTAAACTGTGCAGGGCCACAGGTGAGGTCTCTCTGGAGTCAGACCTGGAGAGAGGACCTCTTGTGGCCCAGCAGGTATGGCCATGGCAGGGGTCATGATCCACACTTCTCTGCAGTCTGGTTCTCCCTGGAGACACCAGCCTGGCACACCTGCCCTGCCCTGCAAAGCTTTCCCATCAGTCACCACCTCCTCCCACACTGCTTCTTCCCGCTGTCTCACTTTGGCTGGTATTTCAACTTCTCTGGGCTTCTACCTCCTTATGTAACATTGGGGCTGCACTCCTGCCCTTCTGCTCCCAGCCCCGAGTCTGAGATCATCAGTCCGGAGCAGCACAGTGGCCACACCCACGCCTGAGGACGCCCCCTGCTGGCTGCCAGGGACGGGAGTGGGATGAGGCCAGGAGGCCTTGAAGGCTCTTGACCAGGACAGTCTCCTTGGGAAAACGGAAGGGACTGTGGGCCAGGGCACTTTCACGTGGGCTTGAGAACCTAACTGGTCAGGGCGCTCCCTGCCCGGTCCGGCAGCTCCCTGGAGGACGCTCCTCTGTGGCCGTGGCTGGCTAGCACAGACAGAAGCAGCAGCGCTCAGAGCTGATGGATGGCTCGGCCTCTGCAGAGGGGCGGACAAAAGGCAAAAAAGATCTGCCTTTTCTTTTACTCTTTACTGAATTATATACACAGGAAATCACATACTTAAAAAGCATATTCAGCCTGATCAGTGTTCACAAACGACATAGCTGTGTGACCAGCCCCTATGTTGTGAGGGGGAGTGATTTCCCACAGCGTGGACGGGCTCTTCCTGTCTGAACATCACCTGTGTGGACTCTGTCCTGGCGCTCTGCCGTGTCTGTCTGCGGGCCTCACCTCGTCCCCGTGTGCCCATGGCCTCTGTCCCCGCCCTCACGTGGCCGTGCAGGGGCCTGCACTGTGGTTGATGACCTCCCACTGTGGGTGGGGCCTCTGTGAAAGGGGCACCGTGAGCTCAAGTACAGTCTGGTGAACACATGTGCTCATTTTTGTTGGGTGTACGTGAAGTTGAGTGGGTGAACTGCCGTCTTCGCTGGTCGGAGTGGAGTACTGCTCACCCGCGGTTCGGCCCGGTAGCTGAGAGGGCGGGGCCGCCGGCAGCCTCCTGTTCTTTCCTGCCGGGCTTGCCGTGGGCTTCTCACCCTCGGGGCCAGCTGCCCTTCATGACGGCTGTCTCATGCGTGGACAGGCACTGCTTCCTGCCAACCGCTGCTAACCCCTGGAAAGAAGTGGTTTTACTTACATGTCGAAGGTGGATAAAGCCCCCCAGAGAGTCTGATGGCCTCCCTGGAAAAGCAGGTGCTGCTCCCACTGTGGGACAGGAATGGGGGGCTGGGCTGCAGCTCCCTTGCCAGCCTGTGAGGGGCAGCAGACTACCCTCTCAGTGCAGCTGGACTGAAGAGGGGTTCAGGGAAGCGAGTGAGTGCCAGAGCTGCGGCAGACTCCCGGCACCCTTGCTGTCACGGCGTGTCTTGGTGCTCTTCAGGGCCGGGCCGGCCCCTGGCGCGGCGCTCAGTGGGCCCACCGCGTGGGTGCACCCTTGCAGGAGGGAGCCAGCTCTGAGCGTGGGAGGGAGATGCTGAGGGCAGCGCAGCCTCAGCCGACTCGGTCACAGCCTCAGCTCCCTGCAGTTCTGAGCTTCCGCCTTACGGCCCGTGGCTGCTGTGCCCCTTCCTGGGGCACCTGAGTCCCAATTGCTGAGAGGACAGGAAGGGCACTCCCACTCTGTGCGTCCCTCGGCCTCCCCCTGACATTGTTTTCAGAAGCAGAATCAATACCGTCCTGCAGAGTAACCTCGCTATGGTCATGCCCTTGCTTCTCCCCCCGCGCCCCGTGCCTCAGCAGTGGGGTCCAAAGTACCGTGGGACCTCAGTTCTCCGGCTTAATTCCTTCTGGAGGCTGTTCGGGAAGCAATTTGTTCGCTAACCTAATCATTTCTTCCCATTAGAAATAATGTAGCCCTGGCCTGCGTGGTTCAGTGGTTAGAGAATCAGCCCATGCACCACAGGTCACAGGTTCCATTCCTGGGCAAAGGCATGCACCTGCATTATGGGTTTAGTCCCCACCATGGTCTGGGTGCATGCGGGAGGCAACTCATTGATGTGTCTCTCTCACATTAATATCTCTCTCTCCCTCCCTCCCTCCCTCCTTCCCTCCTTTCTACTCTCTCTATAAATCAATGGAAAAAATATCCTTGGGTGAGGATTAACAACAACTAAAAAGAAAGAATGTAGCCCTGGCCAGTTTGGCTCAGCAGTTAGAGCGTCAGCCTGCAGTCCAGAGAGACCCAGGTTCAGTTCCCGCGCAGGGCCCATACTTCGGTTGCAGTTTGTTCCCGGCCCTGGTTGGTCGTGCAGGAGGCAGCCACTCGATGTGTCCCTTTCACGTAGATGTTTCTCTCTCTCTCTCTCTTCCTCCTACTCTATCTGAACAAAAAGTAGAAAAATGTCCTTGGGTGAGGATAAAAAAAAAAGAAAGAATGTAAATTGAATTAATTTATTCCAGACCCCCCAAATGATTGATTCCCTGTTTTAACCTTTCTTATATACAGTACATGTCTAACGTACTGTTTAAGCTATAAATAAACACTTAAAAAAAAAGTGTGAAATGTAGATGAAAATTGAACAAAAAGGAAATGAAATGTACAGTAAAAAATGAAAGTGTACATACACACGAGTACCTCCCTGTAATGGTGAGGACTGTCGAGGTCTGGACACGAAGAGGATATGGAGGGACGCTGTGGTTTGGAAGGGGGCCTTTCCATGAGACGTCAGGTCGCTGTTCTGGGCTCTTTCTCTTCTGTCTCTGCTCCACTAGAACTTGCTTCAGGCTCCCTGGCCTCTTTCACCAAAAACCTACCCAGTGATGCTTGGTGTTGCCTGTGTCTTGACACTTGCCTGAAGGGAGACCCTGTGTTGTCACTGTGTTGTCGGGGTGATTTTTCTCAGTAAAACTCTGCGTTTCTCCCCATTTCCCCAGCATTGCCTTGGTTGTTGAAGGAGGAGCATGCTCCCTTCCCCCTCTCTAAGAGAGCTCCTTATAGGCCATCTGCTGCTCCCTCCGAAGGTGCTCAGCTCAGTGCTGCGTCCCCCCAGCTCCACTTCCTCCTCATCCACCTCCAAGCCCTGGACTTGCCTGGGACACATTGTCCTCCACAACAGACCCGGGCTCGTCCTCAGAGTCCTCGGAGTCCCTTCCAGTGGCAAACTCGGCCGACTGCAGGTTCTGGAAGACACTCCCCCAGCTCTGTGTGTGAGCCTCCAGCAAGTAAGGCTATTACAGTGTTGCTGCCAGAACCCCCCGGGCTACCTGGGTCGAAGAGGTCACCTCCAAACACTTGGAAACACTGCTCCGTGTAGAGGTCCTTCACATTAGACGTGACCCGGTGGCCCGCGGTGGACGAGGGAGGGTGTCGGGTGGGAAGACCTGCCAGGGATGCAGCTGTGCTCCTCCACCTCGGCCTCCAGCCTGGAGGGTGGGCAGCAGCCTTGTCCGTCACAAGAGGCGCCCTGCGTGGCATTGTTTCTCCCTGGGGTGTTTCTTCGCACTTGGGGCGAGCACTTCATGAACCTGCTCAGTAAGAAACGGCCTGGTGACCCAGGCTGCTGCTAGCCCTCCACGTCCCATCAGCTTGCTCCTCTGACGGCGCTCTTCTTGAAAGCTCGCGGGTTTTCAGAAGGGCAGGTGAGGAGAGGCGTTGCTGTGAAGTCCCACTGGTCTCCCACTCTGCGGCAGCGCCTATCCTGCATGGCTGTGACCCCTCCTTCCAGAGAGGCCTGTCTCACCACAACTGGCCTTGTTGGGGGACAGATCCCTCGGCCTCTACGTAGTCTTGAAATCTGTCACGAATTTTCAGCAGCTACTTTGTTAGAACGGGCGGCCTCCCGTTCCCCACTCCGCTATGATGCACTCTCTCCTCACATGTGTGGACCCACCCGGCCGGCCCTGAAGGAATCCCTTTCCACGCTCGTCCCGGGGTGTCTCGGGAGGTCAGCAGGCAGCATCTGCGCCTTTTCACACGCGTGCCTCCGAAATGCTGTCACCAACCAACTGCCTTTTGCTCATCCACATCAACCATTTTTCTGCCTCTTCAGTGCCCTGTGATCGTTGTTTCGTGAGCATCTTCACACCCTTCGCCACATTGGCACTCCTGATGGCCTGTTTACGTTTTAAAATTGGGCTAATCCTCGATTTCGCCATGCCATACTCGGTAGCCAGATCAGACGCACGAACACCTCTATCATACTTTGCAATTATTTCTTTTTAAGCTCTATTGTTGTTGTTGTTTTAAAGAAGAGCTTTTTTTTTCTCTTTACTGATTTTAGAGAGAGAGGAAGGGAGAGGGAGAGAGAGATAGAAACATTGATGAGAGAGAATACCCATACCCATACTGATTGGCCACCTGCTACATGCCCCCCACTGAGGATCAGGCCCACAACCCTGGCATGTGTCCTGACCAGGAATCGAACTGGCAGCCTCCTGGTATATGGGTCCACTCTCAACCACTGAGCCACACCGGCCAGGCTCTATTGTTGTTCTTACAACTTTCCTCTTCACTTTGCCGCTATCACTGACCTTCCTTGAACCAATGGTGACTTACTGTATGTGTTTAATAATAAGCAGCAACAAAGGCAAAAAAAAATGAAGATATTCACAGCACAATTTCCTGAGATGTTAACAATGCAAGATTTAGCAGTGAACTGACTGTTATTTGCACATTCTCTCCTTTGTCACCTGAGAGACCTGTGACTGATCACACAGGTATCCGTGTGAAAGGGTGGTCGGGTCCAGAACCAGTTTTAGTTTACAACCAGGACACGTTTCCATGAACAGCTGGTCGAGAAGCGAGTCATTTGAGATGGGCGATGTCCGATAAACGAGGTTTGACTGTCCTCTCTCCACTGAAGGTTTTTCTTTCCCTGAGAGCGTGAGCTGAAGGGGTGGGGCGGGTGGGAGGGGCTGGAGGCGTGTGTTCTGGAAGGTGTCTGAGAACTGATGGCCGGGACGTTGGCCAGATTCCTGTGTGGACGGCAGCTCCAGGCCCTGCCACTTGGGGCATGCAGCCTGGTCCAGGGCAGACACAGAACGTGGCAGAAGCCTCCTTTTGTCCAAAGGACGAGACCATCGTTTAAGTCCGTGGTCGTTTATTGAGCTGAAATTTGGTGTCTTAAAACTGTCACAACTGGAGGGATGCAGAAGTGAATAGGATGTGGTTCATGTTGGTGTAAGGTTTCAGTCTGGGGTTTGGTGTGCAGTCCAAAGGAACAAGGGAGATAAAAGCATAACTTTTCCCCTCGTCAAACCCTCCTCTGGTCTTTCAACCCCCAACACTGTCGTTGCACAGGCAGGAAAAGGAAGAGTCACATAAAGAGCAGTGAGCTACTAACATGCGGGGCACTCAGGGGGTGCACTCTGCCTTCCGATAGGGCCGCCTGCCAGCACCTGTAGTTCCTGGCTCTAGGTAGGGACCCTGCGCGAAGCAGACCCCTGAGGCTTCTGTCTCCCCCTGGAACAGGCAGAGGGCTCCAGCATGGCCACCTCCGTCTGCAGCAGCCTACGTGGCCGTCTTCCTCTGTTGTCTGAGGAGGGAGTAGGGAAGCTCAGTAACAGTGAGAACGGAACTCAGTCTGACAACGTCTGCGGCCTGGCTGCCTTCTCTGCGCCAGGCAAGACTCTGTATGCCTCCCAAGGCTCGGCCTCGAGGGGAAGAAGGCAGAGCACAGGTGTTGGGCATTGTCCCTGCATGATGCAACGGGCACAGAGCACTCTGGGTTGCTCCCACGTCCTTGATTCCACATGAAGGTGCTGCCCCCGCACCATCCCCTGTTGGCATCAGAATCTTGTTCATAGAGAGTGCTGCCACAGACATATGTTCTGTTAGCAGCCACCTGACCTGAGCTGCACAGGCGTCCCAATGCAGGGCTGAAACAGCCGCAGGTGGGCAGGGTGTGGATTAGCCAAGACTGCTTGGGTGCAGATAACAAAGGCTAACTTGGCCCGCCCAGGCAGAGAGGAAAACCTGTCATAAAAGGAGGGCCGCCTAGAACTCTGGGTATGATGGGGCCTGGGGAATGAGCAGAAGGGACCAGAAACCCTCCGAACCTTCTCCTGTACGGCTCCCCTCAGCACACCGGCCGCGCCTCCTCCAGCACACTGGGCAGGGCTAGCACAGGCTTCCTCTCAGAGCCCACGTCCACATGGGACAGGTCCCCCTGCCCAAGGAGCGGCCCAGCAATATCCGGGCCCAAGGCCCTCTCCTGGGAGGAGAAGACACTGACTGGCCCAACCTGGGGGTGTCTGTCCCCTCCCTTCCTGGTACCATAGCAGGGGGTCTGTTGATTGGCTATTGGACAGATGCCCCAAGAATTATCGACTGACAGGAGAGAGGAGTGATGGTTCTTTAATATTCATTCTTCTCGTCTCATGTTTAGCTGGGACGGACAGTGAGAGAAATGAAAAGGGGCCTCCTGGATGCCCTCCCACAGAAATGGAGGCCGAGCGGAGCACCAGGATGAACTGGCATGCTGGTTTCTCCCCAGCTCCCACAGGAGGCTGAGACTTATCGCAAATGTTCAAGTTCAGGCCCTGAACTCGCGTGCCAGTTAGACCAGGGGATCAAGGGAGCCAGACGGGCAGTGTGTTTGTGTTAAGTGAGATGCGTCCGTTCTGTTGTAATTAACGAAACTCTGGAAGTGGACCTGTTCGCTTCCAGTGGGTCTGGGGGTGATGGTGGAGTTCCCGGGACTGCCCCGGGATTGGTTGGAACACGCCCTGGAGACAACAGAATTAGCAGCAGAACCCTGGGCACCAGAGGCTCTCCCTCCCCGTGGGTTGTATGCTGATGGGTGTCTCAAGAGTGGGGCCCTATTTTGGGGGAACTATTTGGATATGCATTTTTAAAAAATGTGTTCTGTAACAGAACAGAATTTATTTCGTCTTTGAGTTTCATGAATCAGTGACAAGTGGCATCTGGTTCAGTGTGTTCCTCCCCTGTGTTGTGTTACGTGTCAGGGATGCAGTACTCGTGCTTGCCCGTGGTTCTCGACGGCACGTGTGCGTGGTGGGCAGCACGGGCTGTCGCTGTGCCTGTCAGAGGACAGGCTGGACGCGGAAGCTCAGCTTTAGGGTCCTCTGCTGAGGAAACCAGCAGCTGTCCAGTCACACATCACTCTCCTTTCCGCTCCATCTGCCCTGCCCGCCCCCAGCGCTGAGCCAGAGCAGGGTGCAGGAGGGCAGCACGCTCGCAGACTGCTGCCCAGCCCCTGGTGGCCTGGGGCCTGGTGGCCGTGCCACACCCTTCAGCTAAACGTCGTCAGGGATCGAGGTCCTTGCAGCCAAGGAGTGCAGCTCAGGGTGCACTGTAGCTGGGTCTCGTTTCTGCCTCCTCTCCAGGGAAACACTGTATGTGCTGAGTGCAGAGTTTTGCCATGCTCAGCAGCACCACTGGAAACCAAGGCTTTGCCATCGTGTTGTGGCAGCACTGGCAGGAGGAGAGGGACCCTGGCCAGGCAGTTTGCAGGCAGAGTGTCAGCCTCTGGGAGAGCAGCTGGGCTGCTCTGGGTCGCAGGCACCGGGACAGTCCTGCTGAGAAACGCTCCCTGATAGGTCTCTTTGCCCTTCCAGGCATGGGCCGACGCCTTCCGAAGCAGCCCTGACCTCACGGGCGTGGTGCACATATACGAGGAGCTGAAGAGGAAGGGGGTCGAGTTCCCTATGGCAGATCTGGATGCCCTGTCTCCCATCCACACCCCACAGCGGGTAAGCTTCCAGCTGGCGTTTTCTGAAAGACCTATTGCAGAACGTCAGCCATTGCCACCTCCCCTCTGCTGCTCCCTTTGAATTATTCAGCTTGTCATCACGCCTTCTTGAAGCTCGAGGGCATTTCTTTTTAATAAGGGGGGTGCCGGAGGGAGACAGCTGGTGGGCCAGTGGTGAAGCGGCTGTAGCATCGCCCAGTGTCACACAGACTGGACGGGCCTAAGAGGGATCCTTTCAGATGTGTGCAGGGGATGGCTGCCTGGGGAGCCACTCTCGGAGGGTGCCAGCGGCCCCCTTTGAGGGCACCGGAGACCTTCGTGTTGGCAGTGTGGGGTGCTGCCTGCATCACTGAGCGTGGGCAGAGCCGCTGTGGTGTCTCCAGCCATACAGGTGAAGCAGATGGATCTAAATGGATCCGTTAACAAATGGATCTAAAGTTTATTTTGAGCTAGGGGCATTTGGCACTAGCCCAGACACCCTGGGATGCAGAGCCCATGGGAGACCCAAGGAGAGACCCCCCCCTGAAGCTCTTCTGACACAGGGCATTTCTGTGCTTCAGAACTGACAGCACGCAGGCGGAGCCGGCCATCCCTCCCCAGGGACGCTGGCAGGCACCTCTGCTGGCTGGGGTCAGCCCCGGCGGGGGAGGGCCCAGGGAGGGCCAGGGAGCTCCAGCGTCTGCAACAGGCACCTGGTCTCAGAGCTCTCCGGCTTACTGGCCCCTGATTGCCCATCAGGAGGTCTATGGCCATATCACCCTGAATGCGCCCCATCTCTTCTGAAATGGGGCGAGAAGGACAGTTCGTGTTCAAGAGGTTATCGGAGATGCCCCAAGGGAAAGCACGAGTCCTTTCCAAAGCAGCGTTCTCATCACGATCCCTCCAAACCGCTCTGCATTGTGGAATAAACAGAACCTGTTTCATTCATCTAATAATGTCACAGAACTCTGGTGGTGTTCCTATAATTACAAAGAACATCCGGTAAAGTGCATAAGTATTATTTATATTAGTCTACTTGGAAAAGCCAAAATGTAATCTTCTGGTACCCAATAAGGGTCCCTAGGTGGTCCTGATAACGGGCACCACGAGCAGGGCTCGCAGAGGGCCCACACTGCTGCCTTTTGGAGGTTCTGTGCTTGGCTGTGAGGCAGGTAGGGGAAGGAGCCATTGGGAGCACCGTCTCAGCCGGGAAGGCTGACCGGGAGCAGAGGGCCTCCTGGAGCACAGGCTCAGCAGCAGCGCTGGGCCCCCACCACTTGCCGGCGCTACGGCAGGAAGTGCTGCCGTGGTGGGGTGGGTACCAGGTCCAATTGCACAGGCAGACCAGTGAACAGAGGACTTTGTTGTTGCCATGCCAGAGTGTCCCTGAAATGGATCCAGCCGCCACCACGCCCAGGTCCCAGTCGCAGCAGAGGACAAGTGCCGGCTCCTACTCCTCGCCACCTCCTGCTCCCTTCTCCGCTCCGCAGGCCCCGGCTCTGAGTGTGACCGGTCCCATCACAGCCAACTCAGAACAGGTATTTGCATTTTCTAGGCCACAGGCCAGCCAGCCAGCAGTCCTCATTCACCCGCCAGGAGACATGGACGAGGTCTCCCAGGCCAGGCACAGTGCCAGGTATCAGTGGCACGCAGATGCAAGGGCTCTGCCCCTCTCCTGAGGACTCCTGGCCGAGTGGGGAGACAGGTGCAGAGACCGCCAGGACAGTGGTCACGCTGCTGTGGGAGCAGTACCCGAGTGCTCTGAGCCCGGGGCGCTGCTGCTGCTGAGGGTCTGGCAGCTGGAGAGGGGCGGGCAGGAGGGTGTGTGCTCCAGGGCCCGGCAGGCGATACTTTGGAGGGTCTGTGTAAGACAGGGTCGCGGTGGGGAGGGAACTGCAGAGGGTGAGGCTAGAGCGTGAGTTTCAGACAGCCTGTGTGTCACGCAGAGAGGTCTAGATTCTTCGTGAGACGTGTGAGCCATCAGAGGCAGTGGCCCACTCAGCGAGGCCCCTGTCTGTGGAGGCAGAGGCAGGGCAGGGAGGCCTCTGGGCAGTCTTCCTGCCTTCCTCCCCAGCATGGCTGCGTCTCTGAGCCATTTCCGGAGAAGCCAGTGCCATCTAACCCCACCTGCATCTGAGGTGAGACGGAGATTGGTCTTTAGGTGAATCTCTAGAATTTCCATTAGTTAAATTTGAGAATTGGTCAGACTAGAAAAAAATCTATCTAATATTTATATTTTTTACATTTTTATTTAATATCTGTAACAATGTCACTATTATGGAACCTCATTTAAACTGAGGGGTCAAGTGATTCCGCCCGAATGGACATGTGCCAGGCCCACCCGTCTCCGGCTGTGCTGGTCCGGAGGAGCTGGTGGGAGGAGGAAGAGGCCCGCTAGGAGGCAGGCGGCTGCATCTGCCCTGCAAGGCTTCAGCCAGGCCTTTAGCCTCAGTCCCTGCCCAAGATCGAGGCAGTGATCCTTCCCCCTTACCTGCGGGCAGCCCCGGGCCGGGCCGGGGGGGGGGGGGGGGGGTTGCAGGAAGTACGCACCCAAGTTCTGTGTGTACTGCTGAGAAGACAGGTGAACCACAGCTGGGGCATGGCGCGCACACTGCTGTGGGCCTTAGTTCGCGGAAACCTGCCCTTTCATCGCCGACTGGGCAGGACCCGCCTCAAAGGGAGCCCTGGGAAAGGTCTCTGGCTCCCTGCTCTGCCCTCCTGCTCAGGGGGAAGGCCACAGGCTGGAAGTCGGGGGGCCACCAGAGCCTCTGCTGACCCAGTCAGTGCGTGGGAGCTTGGGAGGGGCCCTGCAGTGGCCAGGACAGGGGAGAGAGGGTTCGGAATGAACAAGAGAGCAGAACTGTTGCCCCTGGGGGAAATGAAAGCAGAGGCACAACCAGCCTGGCCCAGAGGACTTCAGAGCCCACGTGGCTTCTAACCGTCACAGTCCCGGGCCTCCCTGTCCCAGAGCCTGTTCTTGGCCGGGGCCCGGGCCGTCCACAGAGCCGGAGGCAGAGAGGGGCGACCTCTCCTCCATCCAGTCGGCATTCAGCGAGGCCCCCTGCCCCTGTCCCTGTGCTGAGGCTCTGCCCCCAGGAGCTGGGCACAGGGCAGGGTGGGGCCTGCAGGAAGAGGTGGGAGGCAGAGGAGCAGCAGGGCCCAGCGCTCTGCACACCCTGGTGCATTGGGCATGCCCCCTGGGCCCTGCTGCTCTGTGCCAGCAGCCCTGTGACTGGTCTGTTTGTTTGTCCTGCATTTATCCTCAGATAGGGCAAGGGGAGAGGGGGTGAGGAACATCAACATGAGAGAGACACATCGAGTGGTTGCCACCCACACAACCCCAACTGGGGCCCGGGACAAACTGCAACCGAGGTACGTGCCCTTGGCAGGAACCGAACCCGGGATCTCTGGTCCGCAGGCCGAAGCTCCAACCGCTGAGCCAAACCGGCCAGGGCGAGATGGGGTATTATTACCTGTCCACAGGTGAGGACGTCCTTGTGGTGTTCCTGCCACAGGAGAGAGGGCCAGGCCCCGGCTCTGGGGAGTTCTGTTGGGTGGCTCCAAGGGGTCATGTATCCCTTGGTAGGGGCTTAGTGGGAGAGGGTCTCCCGTGGTCTTCTCTCAGCCCCTCTCCCTCACTCTTGCCGCACCAGGAAAATGTGATCAGCACTGGCCAGCCTCTCAGAAGAACACAGGGCTCACAGCAGGAGCTGCCAGGAGCAGAGTCTATAACTGTCAGGTTCCCAGCTGGGGGCCCAGGGCTGCTAGCACCTTGGGGACAGGCACTCTGCCTTCCGGGGCAGAGCAGAGGCACAGGCCTGCGCTGGGAAAGCAGCACTGCAGACCAGCACGGCGTGGCCTCGGCGTCATGGCAGGGTCCCAGGGGTGAGCTTTTGGTGGCTACTGTCTCGGGGTGGCCTCGCTCCCCCACGCAGCCCTCTCTCAAGGCTGCACACAGAGTGAGATGGGAAGACTTCTGCTGCTGCGCTCATGCAGAGTGTGGCCCAGGTGTCAGGGAATGACTGTCGCCAGCCAGGTGCAGGTGACTGACCCCTTCCCCCTGATTTCCTCCCCTCACCCCACCCCACCCCGGCCCCAACAGATCGCCAGGCTGCGGAGCGAACTGGACATTGTTCGAGGAAACACAAAAGTCATGTCTGAGATGTTAACGGAAATGGTCCCTGGGCAGGAGGATTCATCCGACCTGGAGCTGCTACAGGTGAGGGGACCTCCTCTTGTGGGGACTCTGGGCCCAGGGGTGCAGCAGCGAGAGGGACCGAGTCTATTTGGGCCCATCCCCAGCCTCATGCTTCCTAGAAAAGGTCAGAGGCCAGTACCAGGCTGTCTCTTTGTTATTTTCCTTGATAACATTTTTTCCTGATTGTAAAATGCCAGTTGCAGAATGCATGCCCATCTGAAGAAAAAGGAAGTTCAAAGGAGAAAAGAATACTTTTTTAAATGCCAGCATCCACAAATAGCCACTGTCGATGCTTTGATATGTTTTCTTTTAGACTTGTTTCTATGTTTATTTCAAATGTAGTTGAGAGGATATAATATTCTATGTGTGATTTTGTGTATTGCTTTGCTCCCTCAACACCATAAATGTCGTAAGCATTTGCGACAGGACTTCAGCCTTTCCTGTGCATAGGAGCTTCTGGTCACACCTCCCCCAGCATCCCTGAGGCCACGGTGGAGCAGACACTCCTTCTCTCCCCCCACCCTGGGCCTTCCCGGCTAAGGCTGCTCACTTATGGTTCCTGCGGCTCCGTTGCTAACTGGCCTCCCCTCCCCTGGACACCATCCAGATCCGGGAGCAGGCAGAAAGGGGTCCAGGTGCAGGGAAGCCTGCTGGATGCCTCACGCTGAAGCCAGGGGTCCTGCCTCAGGCCAGCCAGGCCCCGAACCAGCAACCAGATCCACCACTCCCGAATCAGGTGCCTTGCACGGGGAGGAAATGACAGTGGCACTGCCTGAGAGCGGTGACCTTCTGAAGGGGTGGAGAAAGGACGCTGCAGGCTCCCGAGTGCCAGGCCTTCCCAGTGCGGGGGGTGGGGGGGATGCTTGAGTAAACAAATGAGGAGCCAGCCTGGCCTGGCGGCTGGCACGACAGGCCTGCTGCTGTTCTGGTTGGCACTCGAGCCGCCAGTCTCGGCCCCTGAGTGCCACACCTCCCACCTGCTGTTGGCTGACACTGGCAGCCTGGCGGTCGGTCTGATGGCCTGTCCTTCAGGAGTGCACACAGCCATTCCTTGTCGTGCCCCCGTCCTTCGGAGCCATCAGCACCTGGGTGAGCACAGGTGGAAGCCTGCTCTGGGCCTAACACAGAGCAAAGCCCTAGAGACACAGGTGTGTGGGCTGAGATCCCTGCTCTGGAGAGCTCGCAGCTCAGTGCATGAGACAGAGCTCATCTCCCAAAACCTGTATGAGACTGCTTTTGGAGCCAACATGAGTGCCCTCTGCCAGCCCGAGCAAGGAGACCTGAGTGGCCCCCCTGGTTCCCAGACCTCACTCTGATGCCTGCAGCAGACCAGGCCGGCCTCAGTCGAGCAGGTCCCGGGGTCCACATGCCACATCCCATGGGGCCAGAACCCCATTAATGCATCCCTGGCCTCCATTCCCAGCCTGGCTGGGCTTCTTCCAGGCATGACCCGATGCACTAGGGTCTGAGATCTGCCCAGAAACAGTACAGAAGCTGAGAGGGCTTCTCGAGGCGGCTCTGTGCTGTGTCAGCATCAGCATCCCTGCTGACAGGGGCTTGCAGTGGACAGAGCTGAGCTCCTGGCAGCAGGGGGGCCGAACAAAGCACTTCCAGACAGCCGGGCAGACCCAGACAGCAGGAGTATCCTGCGTGCGTGCGTGTGTGTGTGCGCTAAAACAAGCCCATCAGCCAAGACAAACAGAACCTAATCTCCTGGCGTCAGCTCACAGTTTTCAAAAATAGGTTGCTTTCCCATGACGTTCCCTCCCTCTGTCTTGTTCCAGCTCTGAGCCCACCAGCCCTCACTGCTGTCTTATAAATCAGCCAGAGAAGCAGCGTTCTGGGTAGCAGCGGGAGGCTGTCCTTTCAGCATGGAAGCTTCAGGAGCGAGGCAGCTCTGTGTGAACAGACACGGCTCCCCTGGCTGCCGGCCTCACTCCTCAGTCATTCCTGACATCTTCCCTCCTCTTCCTCCCCATCCCTCAGAAGCCAGCCGGGCAGGGTCTCCCAGGGGTCGGAGTCCCACCAAACAGTAGTGAGCCTTCTGCCTGGGAAAACGGCACAGTCTGCTTGGAAAGTGACAGGATCAGAATGTGCCCCGAGGACCCTCCGTCGATTGGAGGGCAGCCAGATCACTCAGAGTGGAAGCTGTCTGGAGCTCACAGTGCTGGCCAGGGCCATGGAAATAAACACTTTTGTCACCAACCCAAATGTTCATGCCAACAAAAGCTGCTTCCGTCTCGAGCGCAGATTGCTGGGCAGGAGGTGGGGGCAGTGAGGAGAGAGGAAACCGGAGGTGTCGGCCCCGGGATGCACCAGTGTGGCAGACAGTCACTGTGGCTGAGCTATGTCCCAATTGCTTCCGCCGAGTCACAGAGCACTGTCGGGCAGCCTCGCCACAGCCCTGCAGTGGCAGAGCAGCTTTCTGGGGCGCTGCTTGAGGATCAGGGGGTTACCTGTGGTGGAGGGAGGCTGAGGCCACTCCAGTCCCCGGTGTGTCAGCCTAGCTGGAGCCCCTGGGGCAAGGAAGGCGGAGTGCCCAGAGGGCACACAGCCAGCCTCTCAGAGTGCCGAACCCTTGCTCCGAGTTGGGAGAGACCTGGGCAGCGAGGCCAGTTCCCCCGCTCTGCTCAGTTCCCTCCACAGCAGTTCGCCTGCCTCGTTTTCCTCGACACGCTCAACAGCAGGCTGTTCAGGTCAGCCCTTGGCCACACGTGGTTAGACTTGGGGAAGCAGTGGACAGGAAGACCAAGGGCTGAGGAGTCACGGGGCCAACCCCTGACATGAGCGGGGTGGTGCTCAGCCAGTCCCTCATCCCTCGGAGACTGGAGCAGTCACTGTTACCAGGGCAGGGCTGGGCGGCGTCTGTTTGTAGTGCTGGCACAGGGCCGGGCACAGGCAGGTCCCAGAAGGCTGGCAGACTCCTCTTTCATCAGTAGGTCCTTGAATGTTCGAAGACTTCCCCGCCCATCTCGGCGTGGTGCAGGTGTGGGCGTGGTGCAGGTGTGGCCTGGCCACCTGCCTTGTAGACCACCAGGCAGATCTCAGCCAGAGGCAGACAGACAGCATAGCACTGAGAGCTCCCATCAGCTGAACACCGTCCATGTCTCTCACGTGGCTGCGATGTCCGGTCTTCCCACCCTCACACGGGCTCCCGAGGGTGAGCCTAGCATCTGGGGGTGTGCGTCTCTGTCTCCCTCTGCGCAGCCTGTGAGTCTGTTGGACTCTAATGACCCTGATGGTGTAATTTGGTGCCTTCTGTCTCTTTCAAATTAGCTTCTTGAACTTTGCCTTCAATTAATAATAACTTTTCCTTAATCCAGTCCTGCTAAAATGGGCAATTCCACATGGCCATCCGTCAGATGATAAAAGGTCTTCCTCATGGTGTCCCTTCGAGGGGACGGTGGTGGCGTGGTGCCCTCTTGCTTCTCTCTCCTCGCATCTCATTTCAGCAAGACCGATGCCAGGACCACGGTCTCTAGAGAAACCTAGTGTGCTCTCCGTGCTCAGCTTCATCATTCCCCCTTTCTCTTCCACAAGACTTCTCCCTCCCTCTCTGCAGTTCCAGGAGTAGGTCTTCAGGCCCTTGTCCCATGCTCCTCTGAACTTGGGGAAGGTCCAGAGGGCACCACAGCGATGGTTACAGGTTGTCTGGTGAGGTGGGGCTGTGAGTGTCCCTTGAAGAAAAGATCAAGTCATTGAGAGTAATTAGACAGAAAAGAGAGGATATTGTCATAGAAGTTCTGATAGATGAAGGGCTTTTGCACAGGAATGGTAGCCAGCTGTTTCCCCTCTCTGTTGGGAAGCAGGAATTGAAGGAGGCCAAAGCTGAAACTGTCAACATTGAGGAGCTTCCCGTCCCAGCTGCTGTGCAGTGGGAGAGGCAGCCTGGGCCAGCTGTAGCCCCGTGTGAGGACCGGGGAGCAGGTGGAGGGTGGCCAGGGAGGTCTCCCAACTGCACGGACCACGATCTGGCTGTGGACAGCCCCATGGAGGCCACGCGGGCAGCTGGCTGGTGTTTGTGGTGGCAGAAATCTTAGCATTCAAGACAGTAACTTAAAAGGTTAAAGCACAGAGATGATAAACTTTCTCTCTGCAGACACCTCTCTGGAGACCCCTGATTCAGAAGCCCCAGGCCCGGCTCTGGGTGTCCCTGGGGTCAGAGCATGCAAGGCTCCCTGCCGGGGGCTCAGGGGCTGTTCCCCTCACCCCGGCTGAAGGCAATGAGAGCAGCAGGTGCCAGGCCGAGACAGGAGTTTCTGGTGCTCGCTGTGCTGACGTCACCGCGTGCTGTGACCTCGAGTGTCGTTCTTCCTCAGTGTTACAGCCAGCAGAGGTCTCAGAAACCATCCTCCATGTTCCAGACATTTCTATAAAGGATTAGAACTCTTTTCTCCACAAGTAAGTGCTACAGAGAGCTGAAATAGATAAAAGCAGCCCTGGCCAGTTTGGCTCAGCGGTTAGAATGTTGACCCGCAGACCAGAGTCCCGGGTTCGGTTCCCACTGAGGGCATGTACCTCGGTTGCAGTTTGTCCCCAGGCCCGGTTGGGGTCATGGTGGCAGCTAGTCGATGTGTCTCTCTCACATGGATGTTTCTCTCTCTCTCTTCTCTTCCTCCCTATCTGAAGCAAAAATATCCTCGGGTGAGGGGGGGGGGGGAACCGTAGGGTGGGGTGCCCTAAACCCCATGCTGTGAGGGCCCCTCAGAGGCCTTCTGCAGAGATTCACCACTTCTCCAACCCCATTTGCCCAGGGAGAAACCAGCCCCGAGAGTGCTGGTGGCCTGGAGAGTCAATGTAGATGGGGAGCCAGGACAGCGATGGGGAGCTCGTAGTAAGGACGGGTTCAGAGCACTTGAGGTCAAGGTCTTCCCTTCCCCCTCTGGCCCCAGCCCAGTTCTGCCCTCCCCCTCCTCCGCATTTCTGCAGCTGGGGGGAGTGGTACCACCTACCCGGCTGATTTGGCCTGGGTGCAGCCAGTGCCTGAAGCATCTGGTCGGAGGCAGGGAGAGAGGGGTCATGAGTGTCCAGTGTTTGCTTGAAGCCTCCTCTTTCCAGAGCCTGCCTTCTCCAAAACCTAGAATGGTAGTCAGGAGAAGCAAGAATGAGAATCCACTTATAGAAAACCCCAGAAGGTCCAGACACTGGACCTGCAGCATTCTGGCTGTGCAGAGGCCAGTGCAGGGAGACCAGCCCAAGGGCCATGTTTCCACAACCAGGGAGCGGGGCCGAGGACCCAGCAAGCCAGGGCACCTCCAGATGGAGCCTTTTCCTCTTTACGGCGAACACCAGACTCTTATACCCAGTTGTCTAAATCTAGATACTTTCTGTCTTGAAAAATCCAGCTGGACTGAGGTGGTTCTGGGCTGACCTATGTGGGCCAGGCTTTTTTGCTCAGTTCCCTCTGCGTGCCGGGAAGGAGCCCCCCACAGGCTGAGCCACCCGGGAAGAGTGGCTGCAAAAGTCACACCCAGGCCCGCGTCTGGCTGGCCGCCATCTGCTTATCCTGCCTTGCCTTACCTGCAGGGTTCAGCCTGGGACACTCGTCAGCCTTCGGCAGCGCACGAATGCCTCGTGGTGTCATTAAATACACGTGTGCTGTTGCTGGGGCTATAAATAAACTGATCTCTTCTTTTTGAAAGGTCTTTTACTATTACCAGTCAATTTCCTAGATAACCACACCCTTTCCACCAGAAATTCCACTTCCAGGGATCCGTCCTATGGAGGTGCTGGCACAAATGCATCAGCATGTGTGTGTACAAACGCTCATTGCTGATGAGTTGGGTTGGCCAAAAAAGAGAGATCACAGCCTAAACGCCCCAAATAGAAGCACGTGGGAAGCATTGTGATATGCACAGGAAGGGATGAGGCCCTGTGAAGTGACAGCTCAGGTGTCTGAAATGTTCTGTCGAAGAGAAAAGCAAGCTGCAAACTTGTATCTTATATTTTTAAACTACTTTGCACAAACATGCAGTTATGTACACACACCAGTGTACAGGTATGGGCATTTGTCTGTGTACTGAAGAAATACAGGTCTCCTCTGGAGGAGGCATGAGGGAGGGTCCTTGCACTTTGCCTCCTACACATGTCTGGCGTTGTGGACAAGAGTGTGCTCCTTGTGCGACTTTCAAGAAGCAGTGCACATTCTCCCAGAGGACGTGGAATGTGGCAAAAGGCACAGCGCAGGCATGTGTGTCCCCAGGAGCTGAACCGGACCTGCCGGGCCATGCAGCAGCGCGTGGTGGAGCTCATCTCCCGGGTGTGCAACGAGGAGGTCACCGAGGAGCTGCTGCACGTCAACGACGACCTCAACAACGTCTTCCTCCGCTACGAGAGGTGAGGTGGAGGGCCTGTCACTTCCCCAGAGGGAGTGTTGCAGAACAGAGGGTTCCTTTCATATGCAAAGGGGGCGAGGGGGAGATGGGATCTGGAAAGCACCCAGCAGGGAGGCTAGTTTGCTACCAGATGGGACACAGGGAAGATGCCTCTTGTTCTCCTGGGAGCCAGGAAGCAGGAAGCTGATGGGAATCAGGCTCTCCCCTTTGTAAGCCTCTGGCTGCTCCGCCCGCCCCTCCAGCTCCAGCTCCAGCCCCAGAGGGAGGATGGCACTAGAGGCCCTGGGGCCTCTGCACCCGCTGCTTTGAAGATCCTTTGCATTTGGAAAGGATTAAAGGGAAAAAATATCTACTAAGGAGAAAAGAGTTTCTCTTTCCCAACTTTAAAAATAAGGAGATTTCCCCCCCTTCCCTTGCCAGTGTCAGCATGCCTAGGGTGCTTGGAGCAGGCAGGGAGCCCTGGGCACTGTGCAGGGACACGCCCCTCTCAGGTCTTCCTGCAGTCTGAGGAGCAGACCTGCAGACTGTCTTCCTCTCCAGCACCTTCCCCACAGAAGGGGTGCACAGCATCCTTCAGATGAACTCTCGGGGAGGTAGCGAGCAGCTCCGTCCATTGCAGGGTGGGGGCACCGCAGGCTCTCCAGCTGCCTGTGTCGACACCAGAACGTACCTTGGCCAGGCCAACCTTCTGAGCGTAAGCCCAAGTCCTCCAGAGACTTGGGATCCTAGCCCCTCCATGACTCGTGGCATGATGACCTGGCACGAGTGAAGGTCAGAGCAATAGATGTGTACACAGGGGCCTTGAGGGTGAGTCTGTGTGGTGGTCACAGCCTGGGCTTTGTCTCAGCTGAACTGGGGCAGTGGGGAAGGGTGGCCCTGTGTCTGCCTGACAGACGAGGAGACCTCCGCGGCAGGGCTGCTGGGTGGCAGGGTGTGTCCACTAGGAACAGGACCCATCGGAGGTGCCTCGACTCCCAGCCCAACACCTCCTGCTCTTGCCATGTGGTTTCAGTTTTAAATGGACTTGATGTTTCACCTGTTACACCCATTTTAGTCCCTTCTAGAGAAGGGTGACAGGAGCTAAGGTGGCATGTTCCTGAGGCTCCAGACAGTGTCATCACCAATTCAGAATCAGAGCCAAAGCCCTGAGTGCATTCTGACTGAGGGGTGGGGAAACCTCAGATGGACCCTGAGTGTGTTCTGGCTGAGGGGTGGGGATGCCCAGTGGACCCTGAGTGTGTTCTGGCTGAGGGGTGGGGATGCCCAGTGGACCCTGAGTGTGTTCTGGCTGAGGGGTGGGGATGCCCAGTGGACCCTGAGTGTGGACTGGCTGAGGGGTGGGGATGCCCAGTGGACCCTGAGTGTGGACTGGCTGAGGGGTGGGGATGCCCAGTGGACCCTGATGTGTGGACTGGCTGAGGGGTGGGGATGCCCAGTGGACCCTGATGTGTTCTGGCTGAGGGGTGGGGATGCCCAGTGGACCCTGAGTGTGTTCTGGCTGAGGGGTGGGGATGCCCAGTGGACCCTGATGTGTTCTGGCTGAAGGGTGGGGATGCCCAGTGGACCCTGATGTGTGTTCTGGCTGAGGGGTGGGGATGCCCAGTGGACCCTGATGTGTGTTCTGGCTGAAGGGTGGGGATGCCCAGTGGACCCTGAGTGTGTTCTGGCTGAAGGGTGGGGATGCCCAGTGGACCCTGAGTGTGGACTGGCTGAGGGGTGGGGATGCCCAGTGGACCCTGATGTGTGGACTGGCTGAGGGGTGGGGATGCCCAGTGGACCCTGATGTGTTCTGGCTGAGGGGTGGGGATGCCCAGTGGACCCTGATGTGTTCTGGCTGAGGGGTGGGGATGCCCAGTGGACCCTGAGTGTGTTCTGGCTGAGGGGTGGGGATGCCCAGTGGACCCTGAGTGTGGACTGGCTGAGGATTGGGGATGCCCAGTGGACCCTGAGTGTGGACTGGCTGAGGGGTGGGGATGCCCAGTGGACCCTGATGTGTGGACTGGCTGAGGGGTGGGATGCCCAGTGGACCCTGATGTGTGACTGGCTGAGGGGTGGGGATGCCCAGTGGACCCTGATGTGTTCTGGCTGAGGGGTGGGGATGCCCAGTGGACCCTGATGTGTTCTGGCTGAGGGGTGGGGATGCCCAGTGGACCCTGATGTGTTCTGGCTGAGGGGTGGGGATGCCCAGTGGACCCTGAGTGCCGCTCACTTCCTCTGGACCACTGTGTGGCAGGGAGTGGTTCTTATGGCAGACAGCTGCCTCACCAGCTTGTTGCCTGTGGCCATCCCTGCTCTCCAGGCACTGACTCCAGCAAGTGGGCCCCCAGTTCGAGAGCGAGTCCCGGTGAAACCTGTCTTCTCCAGGGTCCAGCTGGAGAAGTCTCTCACGTCCTCTTTGCCCATGGCATTCAGGAGCTTTCAAATGTAATGGTAGCCCACATACACCCTTGTGACAGCCTTTCTGTCCCACCTGGGTAAGAGGAGGATTTCCGCAGCTGCTGTGAGCCTAGTCCCATGCTCGGCCAGTCTGCAGTCACCAGGCTGGGCATGGAGACTCCGATACGCCCCCCCTTGGTCCCGTCACCAGCCAGAAGCCCTGCCTGTCCCCTCCTCTCGGTGCCTGCCCTCTGTGTGCAGGGTTTTTGCCTGGCTTTGCCCAGGTAAATCGCTGGCCCAATCCCCCGCTGCAGTGACAAGAGGACCCCTGGGGGGTGGGGTGGCTGTGGTGCTCTGTGGCCTCCTGCACGTGCCAGCCAGCACCCTCTTCCTCCTGTGGTGAAGCCAGGAGGCTGACCCTCAGGGGAGCCCACACAGCGGAAGGCATGGCGCACGTGCGGGCCCAGTCTCCCAGCCCTGAGATGGTAGGTCCTCCCTGGAGCCTGGGCCCAGAGCTTCGCACAGGATACGTGCCCTGCCGGGCCCCTCTCCTCACTCTGCTTTCCTCCCGGTAGGTTCGAGCGCTACAGGTCGGGCCGATCGGTTCAGAACGCCAGTAATGGAGTAAGTGTCCCAGAGCCGCCTCAGCGGGTCTCACCTGCTTCTTCCACTGGGGTTCAGTATTTGCTCAGCTGGACAGCTAGCTCTGGTTATGGGGTACCGAGGAGGAGCTCGCGCCCACCTGGCGGGAGGGTGGCAAAGAAGCCCTGTCCTGTTCTGGTGACTGTCTCTGCCCCCTGTCCTTTGGGGGAAAGCTGGGCGCAGGGGCTGGTAAGAGCCAGCACCCACGTGGACCCTGAGGTCAGGGCGAGGGGAGCGGCCTCGCCTGTCGTGCGGTGCTGAGCCGCGCCGTGCCTCGGGCTTTCCCTCGGAGACCGGCCCCAGGGCTCGGGCTCACTGCCGCCTCTGCTCCGACAGGTGCTGAGTGAGGTGACTGAAGACAATTTGATAGACCTAGGGCCGGGCTCTCCAGCCGTGGTGAGCCCGATGGTGGGGGGCACGGCACCCCCTTCTTCCCTCTCATCCCAGCTTGCTGGCTTGGGTGAGTATCTCCTGGGGGTGAGAAGGACCTCTTTCTGGGCTACTTCCTGCTGTGAGTCTGGGCCAGGACCCGTTCTGTCTCTGTTGGGAGGCCTGAGGGAAGCGTTTGGGGAGTCATGGAGACGTGTGTTCCTGAGGCCTGGGCAGTTGTACCACCTTCCATTCATAGCTTCTTCCCCTGGACTCGAAGTCTCACCTCTGTCGCAAAGCGGGGTGGGAGGCTGCCAAGGAACGGGCAGTTGCTTGCTTTTTAAAGGTGGCTGCTGTGCTTCATCTGGAACGTTCCTTATGTTGAAGAGATTTCCTTCGCAGTCAGCTAGGTAGGCCAGGATGGCAGGCAGGTTTCAGCTCCAGGTTTCACCTCCCAAGTTTGAGGAGGTTGCTAAGCCACTCAGAGCCCGGGAGATGAGTCTGTGAGTGACGGGTGCTGTCTGCCACGGGCCTGGAGCTAGGAGGGTGGCCCTGACCTTCAACTAGCGTCCCCCTGAAGTGCTCTGGTGTCTAAGACCTGGAACCAGAAGCGCTGTCCACGGTCCGTGCGGTTTAAGTGTGGATGTGACTCTAGCGCTGCAGATACACGGTCTGGTGCCAACGCATGACAGATGAGCAGTGTCGGAGCACACGGCCCTCTCAGCATGCTGGCTGCGTTGACTTTAGGGAGAGAAGAAGGGAGGGAGGGAGAGAGACATCTGTCGGCTGCCTCCTACACTCCCCTACCCGGAGGGAGCCCGAACCCGAGCGTGTGCCCTGACCAGGAATCAGCCCAGCCACCTCTGGGTGCACGGACAACGCCCAGCGGGCTGAGCCCCACTGGCGGGCGCAGAAGGCTTTCTACCCTGCTTTTCAGTTCTCTTATTTTGTTTTTGTTGTTGTTGTCTGTTTGTTTTTAGTTAATCCTCACCCAAGGACATTTTTCCATTGATTTTTTTTAGAGAGTGGGCAGGAGGGAGGGAGGGAGGAAAGCAGGGGAGAAAGAGAAACATTGATGTGAGAGAGACACGTCAATTGGTTGCCTCCTGCACGGCCCCAACTGGGCCAGGGATTGAACCTGCAACCTTTTGGTTCATGGGCTGACGCTGTAACTACTGAGCCGTACCAACCATGGGCTGTTTTCTGTTTCTTAATATTCATCTTTATAACTTCATTTATTTCAGTTGAATGGAGCTTTTATTTCTGGCTTTTCGGTATCTCGTATTTGTAGCCGTGTCTTCCAGAATGAGTTTCCCTCCCTTCAGTCCATCCAGCGTATGGCCACTAGATTCATGACCCAAACTCAAATTCAGTTGTGCTGCCTCCCTGATCAAAAAGGTCTTGTGTTTTTCCATCAACCCCTTTCCTGGCATCGGGGGCTTTACACCGCCGTCTCCCACCTGCCTCGTTCGCCACTGGTGTCCCGGGAGTGCTGTTCACGCCACACGCCCGACTCCAGGCTGGTGCCTTCGTACCCACCTTCTCCCACCCCTTCTCCCCGAAGCAGGGTCCCACTCGTCCTTTAAGACCAGTCTCGTGCCCTGGCCCGTTTGGCTCAGCGGTTAGAGCGTCGGCCTGCGGTCCAGAGAGACCCGGATTCAGTTCCCGCTAAGGGCATGTACCTCGGTTGCAGTTTGTCCCCGGCCCTGGTTGGTTGTGCGGGTGGCAGCCACTCGATGAGTCCCTTTCACGTCGATGTTTCTCTCTCTCCCCCTCCCACTCTACCTGAACGGAAGATGGAAAAATGTCCTCGGGTGAGGATTAAAAAAAAAAAAGACCAGTCTCGTGTCGCGTTGAGTCTTTTCCAGTGTCCCAAGCTAAGTACTTCTGCTGTCCATCTGTCTCCCACCTGCTCTGTACACCTGGTCCACGATCTCAGGGACCACGTCAGATTACATTTGAGCCACTCAAGACCTGGTTCTGAACACGGTGGTACCTGCGAGGTATTTGTGAGATAAGTAAATGGCAAGACCCTTAGAAATTGTCAGTGAGTCAGTGAGGAGCCCTAACAAGGGCATTCTGGGAGGTCTGTAGGGCGCTGGCCCGGGCCCGCCGTCTCGTGGCCGCACTCTCCCTCCCACTCTTGCTGACTCCATGGCTGCTGTCTTCCGCCTGGACTCCACACGGTGACCTGAGGTGCTGGAGGAGGTCCTGTGCCCCACCCACCCCCAAACTTGAACCTGCGCGGCTGACTTTGGACCCTGTGAAGGCCGTGATCCACGTCTGTCCTCACCCCGCCTTGTTTCTCTCGCTGCTGCAGACCTGGGCACAGAGAGCGTCAGCGGCACCCTGAGCTCACTGCAGCGGTGTGGTCCTCCAGAGGGCTTCGGCGTGTTTGCCCAGGCGAGAGGGGGCTCCTCGGCCCAGCAACGCAAGACGTATGTAGGGATCGTTTCAGTGGCTCTTGGAAGATACTGGGGGAGGGTCGATCCAGGCCCGGTCACGGGTCAACACAGAGAGGCCTTTCATTTACCAGGCCTGGGACTGCCAAAACTGAGAAATGCGCTGTGAGGCCTTGGCAGGAGACGGGCTGAGTGGACGCCAGCCCCTCCTGCTGGGTCTGTGGCTGGGTTTCTCCGGTTCTCTTTGCTGCTTGTGCTGCTGCTGCTGCAGAAGCCTGGTCTGTGGGAGGGGCCAGGAGCCAGGAGGGCGGCCAGGCGCTGAGGCTTTCCCGCCCAGGAGTGGGCGGAGGCTTCCCTGATAGCCGCTCTGGCCAGGGTGAGCGTGGGCTGTGGGGGTTCATGCTAGAACAGACAGTCCCCGGCATCCCAGGGAGGCACCGGGACAGGCCCTGAGCATCCGTCAGCCTGCAGGCAGGTGAGGAACTTCCCGGGCTCAGCTCCTCGAAGCACTCAGCTTTCCGAGGCCCACGCTCCACAGTCCCCCCCGGGCCCCACGTACCCTTTACCAGCACAAGTTGCTTGTAAAGCGGATACAGTGAAAGAGGCCAAGGAGCAGAGGAAGGAGCAGAACCCGTGACAGGCCCCAACCCCAGGCCTTCTTGTCCCGTGCCACCGAGGCTGCTGCCTCCTGCCTGCGAGCAGTCTCGGCACTTCCGGCGCCCTGTCATCAGGCCGTGCGGTGCCTGGCGGTGGTACAGGAGAGGGACGTGCTCCGTGCCCCGTCCCCTGAGGAGACGAGTGGCTGCGCCTGTGCTGGGGGCCAGGCAGGCCTCCTGGCCCCAGGGGCCGGCAGACAACAGACGAGCCCAGCCTCTGCCGGATGCCGGGCTGCAAGAAACACGGCTCCGAGTACATGTGAGGGAGGTGCCACGGATAGAAATCGGTCACAGGTCACCACCCCCTTGGCCACCAGGCACTGACTGCTTGTGCTCTTGTCTCCAGGGTAACCTGCGAGGACCCTCAGGCTGCCGGAGGACTTGCTTCTGTCCTGGACAGTCGGAAACAGATCTCCGAAGTGGTAGGTCTTTAGCCCCGTTTTCCTGCCCGGAGTCCCCTGGAGGGCAAGTCAGGCAGTTTGGTCAAGCTAGCTAGATAATGAAGCAGAAGCTGGCTTGCATGGAGGGCAGGACACGCTGGGGAAGACCTCATCGAGTCCTCACTCTACCCCGTGGGTGACACCCCAAGTCAGCTTTCCCATGACACCCAAGAGGAAGCCGGCCCAAAGAGGTGGCGACATGTCTGAGACACCCAGAGAGCGCGCAGCAAGTAGAGGTCCACCCTGGGAGGTCCGACTGCAGGATCTTGCTTTTCCTACCTTGGTGGCCCCAAGCTTGCAGGGCACAGGTCTCCTGTAGCCAGACAGGGTCTCTCCTCACGTGTGACAGAGCTCGGGGCTGGGCGGTGCTCTGGCGAAGTCATGGCCTGTCTAAGGAAGGGAATGCAGCTCTGGCTGGCCTAGAGAATCGGCACCAGCCTTGTCAGCAGGCAGCTGGGGGTGGCGAGGAAGGTGTTCTGGGAAACTCATCTGGAAGGACCGCAGTGAAAGGCAGAGGTACTTGGATGAGCAGGACGGTGCTGGTCAGACCTCCAAAATGCAGCTGGTTTCCGTGAGATTTCAGAGCGTTGCAGGGGAGAGGAGTCATATGTCAGTGCTTCTCATGAGACTGTTCCCCTTTTTGCCTAGACATGTGTGTGGCGGTATCTGGATGAATGTTTGTTTGCAGGCTGGGGCAGGGGAGGTCTGGCCCTTCCTTCAAGGTCCCCCAGCTGGGCTAGAAAGGGCAGTGCTCATCTGTCCACCGGACGGGGAGTCTTGCTTCCCCAGTGCCAGTGTTTGACCTCCTGCAGGTCAAACGGATCCAGGCCGACAGCAGTGCCGCAGCCTGGTTACCTTGGTAAAGCTCGCCCTGGGGGAAGGGACTCCTCCTTCCTCCAGACTCCACCAGCCTGATAGGAAGCTGTGCATCCCTCTGCGCTGGCCACCAGGGGGCACAGAAGAGCCAGCCCAACTGCCTTGCTCACTCAGTACCCTGGAAGGGTGGGCATTGCCACCCAAAGCCCTGAGACCCAGACTCCCCAAATCTCTGCAGTGGTCACGGTTCAGTTTCTCTGGTCATTTAGAATGTCCTCCCACCTAACAAGGAGAGTGTGTGGGAGATGGGCTGAGGGCCCACCAGCACACACTGCGGTTGAGGAGCCCCTCGCCTGGCCCTCCCTGGCCTGGCCTGCAGCCCTGTCCCTCAACCAGCTGTCCTGGTTTGCTTCCCACTCTGTCTCCATGCCCATGTGTGCCCTACCACACCTTTGCCATTATCAGTGCCCTCGTCTGGGCTGAGCTGGGGACATGAGGCCAGCTCCCCACCCTTCACCCTTTGGGTGTGTGGCTTGGCTGTTTCCATTTTCAAAGGTCTTGATGACTTCAGCATGTTTTCCACATGATGGTGGGCAGATGGCTTTCCACGCTCACTGCTCGCTGAGGCAGTGCAGGGAAGCAGGGCTCATGCTAGCTGTGTGTGTGTGTGCGCGCCTGTGTGTGTGCGCCTGTGCGTGCGCCTGTGTGTGCCTGTGTGCGTGCGCCTGTGTGTGCCTGTGTGCACGTGCCTGTGTGTGCCTGTGCGCGCTTGCCTGTGTATGTCTGTGTGTGTGTCTGTACCTGTGACTGTATCTGTGTGTGCGTCTGTGCGTGCGCCTGTGTGTCTGTGTGTGTGTGTCTGCATGTGTCTGTCTGTGTGCCTGTGTGCGCGCCTCTGTGTGTGTGTCTGCGTGTGTCTGTGTGTGTGCCTGTGTGTGTGCCTGTATCTGTGTGCCAGTGTGTGTGCCTGTATCTGTGTGTGTGTTTCTCTGTGTGCCTGCGTGTGTGTATCTCTGTGTGTCCCTGTGTGTGTGTCTGTGTGTCCCTGTGTCTGTGCCCTCACACGCTGGCTCGCATGCATCTTCAGGCCAGTACTTCAGTTATGTTGTTCCATGTACTAGCCCTCACTAGCCTGGAAATGAAATTAGGTCAAGGGAGAAATTAAGAATACAATAAGAGGGGGGATTGTATAGCCACACCTCTACAGTGCCATTAAGTCAGTTGTCTTAACTTTAAATAATTCTATCATTAAAAAAAGTAATAGACTCAAATACAGAGTTTAAGTTAAGAGTTTAGAAAAAGAACACACCGGTAACTGAGAAGGAGGGAAAAGGGAAGAAAAAGCAAAAATAAGTTAGAAAAAAGGTAGAAATGATTTGTAAAAGCTGGTTCTTCAATAAGTCAACCCTTTGCCAACCCTGGGAGCCTTGACTGGGAGAAACTGCCCTGGGCGATCTCTGACCTCATGGAGATTTCCCAAGTGTGTGGGAATGGTTGCATGAGTGCTACTCTGCTGGGATTCTTGGTAACAAAACCTCTCTTTTCCAGGTAGGTAAAGGGGACCGGTGGAGGTGGGGGGTGCACACCGGGCCACATGCTCTTACGTGACCAATGACAGCTCTGGCCCGGGGCTCCCCATCCCCGGTAGATGCTACTGCTTCTATATCATGGTCTTGCTGTGTCTTTCTTTCTGGGACTTTTCTGTCCTCCGTCCAGAAGAGAGTTCAAGGTGGGGACTCTGACCTGGAGCCCATAGACAGCTGGCTCATAGCCCAAGGAATGGTGAGAAGTCACCAGCTGAGCAGAGCTCCTGTCCACCCATGCTCCCTGTGTCCCTGCTGAGCCCTGTGAGTCAGACAGTACAAGGCCATGCTCTCCTGCCGGCTGGGCGCCAGATTGTCTCCTGTCTGTGCATGGTCTCCTAGGCCACAGCTTCCAGCCCCAGGAAACACCTCTGATTTTCTGCTGAGGGCCGGCCCCGGGCCTGCAGGGTCTGGGGTGCGTTCAGAGTGAGGGGGGCAGCCCCTCCTCCCTGTCTCCGGAGCGCTGGCAGTATCCCCTTTTCCAGGATGAGCACAGGGCACTGTGGCCTTTGCTTCCAGAAGAATGGACTGGAAGCATCTGACCAGCAGGGGAAGCCCTCCAGCCTATGACTTGGGCAGTCCTCGGCTGATGGGCTCTCCGCGCTACGGCATGGTCGTTATGCGTGCCCACTACATCCCCGAGAAGCCGAGATCTCTTAAAGAAACACACTCACAATAGGAACAGAATAAAAAGAAGACAAGGTGGGCAGAGTTGAATATCATAAATGCAGTTAGTTCTCAGGAAGGGAGGCTTTCTGACACACAGACCTGGGCAGGTCTCTCTGCCTCTTCTGAGCAAGTGGCCCTGAGCCTAGTGCCTAGAGAGAGGGTGACCTTGTTCCGGGTGGCTCACCTCGGAGTGATCCTTTCACCTCTGAAACTACAGTCCTCCGCAAGCACCTCTGACATGGAGACAAAGGTCTGTGCACAGGTGGTGCCGGGAGCGGGAGCGGCTGCAGAGCGGGAGAGTGGGGAGAGAGGGGTCCAGGCCTCTGCCCTACAGCTGGCGGCACTGGCTGCCCCCTGGAGAAGGCACATACCTGACCCTGGAGCCATGCCAGGCTGTGGTAGGGGTAGGGCGTGCAGACAGGGCCAGCATGCCATCAGACTACAGGCCTGGGCACACCAACACAGCTGGGTCCCTCCCCCTCCCCTGTTGGCAGACCCCCTGCCTGCTGTGTCTGCACCAGATGCACAGCCACTCCTAAAGGTGGGGCCGCCTGAGCCCCTCGTCTGCAGCAGGGCTAGTGGGGCTCCGGCCGTGTGTGTGTGTGTGTGTGTGTGTGTGTGTGTGTGTGTGTGTGTGGCTGCAGAGCAGGACTCCTAGAGGCCGCATCCACTCCCATGTCCAAATTGGAAGGGTGCAGCCATGTGTGCTCGTGCCTCATACACCTGCAAAACAAGGATACTGCCCACAAAACCACCCTGAGTGTGGCCTTGGCAGGTGGTGGCCGGCTCTGCCCACACAGGCCCCCCACTGCCCTGTCTCCTCCCAGAGTGCCAGTGTTGGACTCCCAGAGACAAGCCACTAACAGCTAACTGTTGTCTCACTTGCCTGACTGCGATGTTTTTTGTTTTAAACGACATCCATTAATTGCTTTGCCTGATTCCCCAAAGCGCAGCACCCCGAGTCCTTCCCAACCTCCCAGGTACAAATTCTTTACTTGGAAACTTTTTGCACTATTGAGCGAGCCCAAAGGGCTCCTAGACCACTCCTCACATGGGGCAGTGGAGGCCTGAAAGGGGCATCTCTCAGCTGCTCTGGGAGCAGCACACCCAGACCATGGTGCTTGTTCCTGCCGTCGGGGGGACAGGCATCCCTGTGGGCCGGCTGTGGGAGACGCCCGCTCTGCCGGACCTCTGCACCAAGTGAGCAACGCAGGCTCATGGCCCGCCGAAGGAGACCGCCGCCGAGCCAGCCGGCCAGAGATGGCTGGTGCGGAGACCCCTCCAGCTCGTGGGCCACGTCCTGCTGTGATCCTAGAGGGGTGTCCCCCACCTGCCAGGCCAGCCAGGAACTATCTGCTGTGTTCTAAGTATCAGACAGAAGTAGGTCCCTAGAAAGAGGCTGCTGCCAGAGCCCAGGTTTACGGTGGGGGCGGGGCTCCCTCCTCAGACCTGGAGGATGCCCGACACGGCAAGGCCGAAGTCACAGGGAGCACTGCGTGCCGAGCCGGGCAGCGCCTCTGCCCTGTGGATAGATGACCCTGCAGCCCCTGCAGAGCTGCCTGCCTGCGGCCAAGGGCATCCCCATGCCAGTTCTCCGCGGGCTCTGAGGGCGGCAGGGCTCAGCGCGCCACGGCCCTCTCCTCAGAGGATTAGTTCTAGGCCCGGGTCTAGGGGCGCTCCCAAAGCAGCAGCTTCTCTTCTCCGTTCTTCACCTCTCTTTGCCTCCTCCTCCAACTCACACTCTTCTTCAAACCCGTTGGCAGCCTTCAGCTTGGTCACCCAGGAAGACGTGAACTGAGCAGGACAGAGCCTCAGCCTCTTAGGGGTGCACTGGGCCAGCCCTCACTGGGTGGGCTGTTGCCGTGCCAGAGGCCACGGGGCAGTGACAGGGTCCAGGGCCCTCCTGCCTTCCTCGAGGCTGCTGGGCCACCGCAGAGCAGCGGGGCGTTCTGATAACGCCCACAGTGCCAGAAGGGACTTTGGCCTAGTGGCGCTGACGTTGATTAGGAGGGCAGGCGGCTTGTACAGCTGAGGTGTTCATCCAGCCCTGGACCTTCCGTCTCTGTGTAAGCTTTGGTCAGCCCACACCCCAGTCCGCAGTGACACGTGCCCGAGGCGGCACTGGGCGGCGTCAGTTCCAGTCATTTCTGAGGTCCCTGGGTTTCTCCCTCTCTCTTTAACAACTGATAGTCAGTTTATTGCAAAGGTCAAGTTAAGTACCTGAATGGTGACTCCAGCCTCCGCTCCTGGCTCAGTGCTGACAGAGTGATCTGCCTAGTCTCGGGAGGGCTAGGCCGACTCGTGTCTCGGCTTCCCCCAGGGCGCTGTTCCCACAGTGACTCTCGGAGCCTTGGTGGGTGTCCACTTGGTCCCTCCACTCTGAGGTTCTCCTCTGCACACACCTTCTCCACAGACTTTACATGACGACTGGGCAGAGTAATTCCAATGCGGGAATTGCCACCTCTGGCTCCACGGTCTTTCCAGTCTTGAACTGCCATGGCTGAGGTGCGGCTTCCTCCTGATCGATTCGTTCCTCGTGGAGAGCGAACAGTTTGTACTCTGACCATGCTGGTTCTCAAGGTTCACCCTCAGAGAAGACAGCCTGGAGCATGGTCCCCGGCCTCGGTGTAAGGCCCGTGATCCCTCACTGACCTCTTCCAGCTTTTGCTCCACACGAGAAGGCTTGTCCGTGGAACCTGCATCTCTTCTAGTGGACTAAGCTGTTGGGGACTGAGAGGCCCGGCCTGCACCCCAACGGCTGCTGCTGGGTGTCTTCTCAAGCTTCAGTTCTGGGGACCTGGCCTGGCCCCCGTCTTCGCAGAGGCCTGGCATTCCAACTACAGCACCGAGACAGTCAAGGTTGGCACGCCGTGTCATGGGAACGCCAGTGAGCACGAGGTCCGCTGTCTCCATGGGAGGCGGGCGCTGCCCTCGCGCCATCAGTGCGCCCACCAGGCGTTGTGCCCTCCAGAGCAAGAGCCACCTTCTTTGTCCCAGGAGTCACTTCAGGGTGATTCAGCTCCTGGATATTTTTTTCATTCCAACATTCCTAAGTCCTCAGTAAGCCAAAGAAATAAAATGAAAACAGAATCTTACTCGTCTGGTCAGGGCTGGCTTGAGCTTTAATGAAGACGTGCGTGGACTGCCCCACGCTGGGTCTGCAGTCGGGCCCAGCACATGAAGCTACTCCAGTCCCCTGTGAGGGGTCCCGGCCTCACGAAGTGAGTGTGAGCAGGACTGGGCCAGATCAGACACCTGCTCGGTCCACTGCCCACCCGGACTACCAGGGGGCGTTTCCACCCCAGGCGTGGCTCGTGACGTCAGGGCAGGGCTGGTGAGGGAGGTCTGTTCTCTGAGAGGTCCTGTTGGTTGTAGGTTTGGCTGACACTGAGGCAGGCCCCTTACTGCTACTGTAACTTTATTCTCAGCCAGGATGGTGACGCTGGGGTGCAGCCCGCTGTAGGCACGGTGCTGGTGATTCCAGAAGTAGAGGGCTTGTGAGCGAGCCCCAGGGAGATGCTAGTTGGGAAGGCAGATGGCCTCGCCTGAGGTCGGCCAGCTCACGGGTCCAGGCTGGGAACCAGCACTGTAGTACCGTGACTTCCAGCAGGCTAATGTTCTCTTTACTTCTTGTGATATCATATCTGACAGCAACTTAAATATTTCTAGCGAAGTGCATTTTTCAGAACACTGCCTGCAAGGCCCTTGGCAGGTGTCCGTCCCTGAGCGGACACTGCTCCCCAGGTCTCAGCCATCGAAAGCTGGGAGGAAGGGTGAAGCCAAGGAAGCAGTGCGCTTGGACCTCCTCGTCCCCTGAAGACACAGAGGCAGCTGCAGCCCCACAGCCCCTTTGTCCAAGCCTTTGCTTGGTTCTGGTGGACGTGAGAGGTGCTGCCCCCTGCCGGCCAGGCCGCACGCAGGCCAGTGCACGCAAGCACCTCCAGTGAGCCGGAGCCTAGTGGCTCCCGAACTCTGGACAGACTGCCCTTGGCCTCCCCAGTGCTCAGGGGCCACTGGCCCTCCTCAAGTCACCCCAGGGACTGGGCCCAGCAGCAGGTGGCCGCACTTAGCTGTCGTCACAGAGGAGCCCAGCCAGCCTGCAGGAGCTGCGCTCCTGGGCTGGGAGACCCATGTGAGGACTGGCGCAGAGTCAAAAAGTTCTCCATTTCAAGAACGCGTACCCCCAGCCCTCTCCTCAGACCGCCTCCCACTGCCCCCCGCCTGCCATCCGTGTGGCCGCCTCGTCCGCCTGCTCTGCGCTGTGGCTTCTGTTGCTCTGTGTGCGTTTGGTTTCATTTGGGGTTGCTTTGATGATTTACTCTGTTTGGTGTTCTGTCTTCCCTCGCCTGGCTGTGCGGCTGCCTGGCCCACCGCTTGCGCCTCCATAGATCCCCGTTGCGCAGCCCTCTGTCATGGACGACATTGAGGTGTGGCTCAGGACGGACCTGGTGAGACTCGACTTTTCTCTTTCCAGTGTGGGGTGTGGCAGACAGGCCTCAGGGACAACCAAAGGGGCTGCTCCTGGGCGGGGGACGGGGCACATGGGCTCCTGCAGCCACCGGACCTCACTGCGGCTGTCCCCTCGGCCACCTGTGGCCTGCGGAGGCTGCGGGAGAGGCCCTGTGCTGAGCAGAGCTGGGGCCCCGCCGGCCCCCAAACACACACTTACTCTCTCCCAGTTACTTTCCAGTTTCAGATATGTGTGCGCTTGGGTTCTTCTTTCTTCCTTCCCTCCTTCCCTCCTTCCTTCCTTCCCTCCCTCCTTCCCTCCTTCCTTCCCTCCCTCCCTCCCTCCCTCCTTCCCTCCTTCCTTCCCTCCCTCCTCCCTCCCTCCCTCCCTCCCTCCTCCTTCCCTCCTTCCTTCCCTCCCTCCCTCTTCCTTCCTTCCTTCCTTCCTTCCTTCCTTCCTTCCTTCCTTCCTTCCTTCCTTCCTTCCTTTTTTTGGTGGGGTTTTCTGTTTTTGAGGGTTCTTGTTTGTTTCCCAGTTTTCATTCCTTCTCATGGTGACATATGCACAGAACGAGTGGAGTGTTTGGTTTTCATTTTAAACCCACTGTCGTGCCCTGGCCAGCTTGGCCAGCAGTTAGAGCGTCAGCCCTCGGCCCGAAGGGTCACGGGTTCGATTGCCGGTCAAGGGCACATGCCTGGGTTGCAGGTTCAATCCCCGACCCGGTCGGGGTTATTGGGGAAGCAACCAATCGATCTCTCTCTCTCTCTCTCTCCTTCATTTCTACTCTATCTAAAAATCAATGGAGAAATATCCTCAGGTGAGGACTAACAAATAAGTAAGTAAATAAATACCCTCTGTCAACCTGGCCAGCTGGCTTAGTTGGTTGGAGCATTGCCCCATATATCAGAAGGTTGTGGTTTCAATCAGTTGGGGCAGGAGGCAACCAGTTGATGTTTCTCTCATATATCGATGTTCCTCTGTCTCTTTCTCTCTTCCTTCCCCTCTCTCTAAAATCAGTAAAATATATCCTCGGGTGAGGATTTAAAAAAAGAAAAATCCACTGTTATCTCCCTTCCCTAGTATCTCCTGGTATCTTGGGTCCAAGAGAACGCTGCCCCAGAGACCACTGTCTTTGTCCCCAGAGACAGGGCCGAGACAAGGACACTGCCCGTCTGCCCCTGGTAGCAGGTCCTGAGGAAGGGGGGCAGCAGTGGCCAGTCCCTCCCTGCTCCTTACAGAGCATGTCACTCTCAGCCACCTGTCCTGGGGATGGGTGGAGGTTGTTGGCTGAAGACGATGATGAAATGCACTCTGGGAGGGAAGTGGCTTGTCCAAGGTCATGGGCCGGAGCTGGCTGGATTCTTCCCCAGACCTGGAGACACGACACCTCTTGCTCCTGGCGGCCTCCTCTTCAGGGCCTGTCCCTGGACTAGGAATTTCTTTCATCACAGGGCCACACAAGGACAGGTCTGAGGTCCGGCTTCCCTGGGCCACCTCCTCGGAGGCCAGCTCCCTAATGACTCTCATGACCCCCAGGTGCCCTGCTGTGGGGGAAAGAAATGCCCATTATGTCTTTCCCGAGAAATGCCTGGAAAAGAGAGAGCTCCTCCCCAGAAGTAAAGCAGGAAGGGCCAAGGCCCACCTCACAGAGGGGGACCCCAAGGTCCAGAAAGGGGAGGGATCTATTTGGCAAGACCAGAGCCGTCAGTGGCGGGGCCGAGAAGGAAGCCGGGTCTCTGGGCTCAGCCGAGGGCCTCATCCGCCTCCCATCCGGCTCTCCTCCTCATCATGGTCTGTGGCGTGGGTTCCAAGTGACCACCGCGCTCTCCAAACAAACTAGGTCTGGTCCACTCTAACTATTAGGAGGGCACACAGCCTCAGGCTCCTCAGGACTGGCAACAGGTAGTGGAATCCGGGCCACAGGAGAAGGTTGGCACAGCTCCGAGGTGGCCACGGACATGCCCGCCGGAGGGGCTCCCCTGCCGAGCACTGCCTGGTGTCGGCTGCACTGCGGGCGTCCGGCTCTGCCACTTCCAGGCCTCCTGTGCTCCCAACCGCTGGCTTCCCAGAGCCCTGCAGCTGGCTGTGCAGGAATGCTGAGCAGAAGAGTTCCTGGGGTCCCTGGGTGTGCTTGGGCTCCAACTCCTTGTGGCCCCCTGGGAGAGGGGGGTGAGCAGAGGCCTTCCATGGCCTGCCCCAAGCTCAGCCCGGAGACCCAGCTTGTACCTTTCTTTGGCTTTTCCCTTTGGGCCCTCCTAGAGGATTTAAATCTAGAACTACTCAAGCAGTTTATGTTTTGCTCTTTATTTATTTATTTATTTATTTATTTATTTATTTATTTATTTCCTCACCTGAGGACATTTTTGCATTTATCTTCAGTTAGAGCAGGAGGAAGGAAGAGAGAGAGAAATATCGATGTGAGAGAGACACATTGACTGACTGGCTGCCACCCACACGACCCCAACCGGGGCCGGGGACAAACTGCAACCAAGGTATGTGCCCTTAGCAGGAACCGAACCTGGGACTCTCCGATCCGCGGGCTGATGCTCTAACCACTGAGCAAAACCGGCCAGGGCTATGTTTTGCTTTTTAAAAACAAAGTTTCTGGCCTGGCTGGTGTGGCTCAGTGGCTGAGCATCGACCCTGCTCCAAGAGGTCTCCAATTCGATTCCCAGTCAGGGCCATTGCCCAGGTTGTGGCCTGATCCCCAGTGGAGGACATGCAGGAGGCCGTCATTCGATGTTCTCTCTCCGATGTTTCTCTCTCTCTCTCCCTCCCTCTCCCTTCCTTTCTGTCTAAAATCAATAAAGAAAAAAAAGTGAAAAAAAAAAACAAAGTTTCTGGCCTTGGCCCCATGGCTCAGCTGAGTGTTGTCCTGCACCAAAAGGTTGCCGGTTCAGTTCAGTTCTCAGTCAAGGCACATTCCCAGGTTTCGGGTTTGATCTCCAGTCAGGGTGCACACAGGAGGCAGCTGATTAATGGTTCTCTCTCACATCGATGTTTCTCTCTCTCTCTCTCTCTCCCCCTCTCCCTTGCTCTCTCTCTAAAAGCAAAAACAAAAACAGTTTCTGTTTCTCCAATAAGATAAACAGTACTTTGGTATCACAGAACTCTGGGAACAGGAAGTAGGGATTTTTGCTTGGGTGGTCATGGACCAAGCTGCCCCAGGGTGGCTGCTGGGGGGAGGTGGCCGGCCAGTGGGGCCCTAACACTGTTCTCTCTGCTCCCCACAGAAGGGCGACGATCTGGAAGAGGGTGTCACCAGTGAAGGTAGGGCCTGGCAGTGGCTTTACAGCCTGCTCTCCCCGTCTGCTGCTCTCCTGGCTTGGGGTGCACAGGGCACCCCCACCTCAGAGCGCACTGCTGCAGCCCTGTCTGGTACCTGGGCCAAACAGGGCCTCTGTGCCGGGAGCTTCGACCCTCTCCCACCCAGGCCTCGTGCTGAGGGGGCAGTCAGAAAGCACGTGACTATTGCAAGGTCAGAGCTAGTGAGCAGTAGGTACATACTGCCATCCAGGTCAGCGTGACCCCAAACCCTGCTCCTGGCCAGTGTGTCCCACCCCCAAACGCTCAATCCAGCAGAGGCAGGCTGTGCCGTCTAAGGGGCACACGGGCCTCTCCAGGCCTGGCATCCCGCCACCTCACTTCTGGGGGTCATGTAGGGAAGTTCCATCACGGCCCCCTCCCAGCCTGCCTCGGGACCTGCCCTCCGGCACACCCTTCCCTCTGCCCTGCCTCCTCCCGACCACCTGGGCCACCCCTCAGGCACAGAGCCCTGTGGTGGGGCTGCCCTCCAGCGCCCTCTGCCTGCTCAGTGCTGCTAAGGAGCCTGGAAAAGAATCGTCCACGTCGCCCCTGCCCCCAGCAAGGTCTCCACCCTGTCTTGGAGGTGGCAGGGGTGGGATCAAGGCTGGGTCCCCAGAGCCCCCAGAAGCACCCTGGCTGGCTGGTGCCGGCACTCCGTTCTCCTCTCCAGCAGGCCGTAGCCAGGGTGGGGACTCGTGCTGGGGCGACCCTGTGGGCACAGTGCGTGGGCTCTGTGGGGTGCAGGCAGGACAGGCTGAGCCTCAGTGTGGGCCTCGCCCCCACCAATCCTGCGTCCTGCCCTGGTTTTGTATTACAGAGTTTGACAAGTTCCTTGAAGAAAGAGCCAGAGCTGCTGAGATGGTTCCCAACCTCCCCTCACCCCCCGGGGAGGACCCTGCCCCAGCCTCCAACCCCGCCGGCCGGAAGAAGCCAGAGCGCTCGGAGGACCCCCTGTTCGCCCTGTGAGCCCTCTGTGGTTGGCTCCCCAGGTGGCAGGTCACCTCTGTCTCCACCCCTCCATGCCAGGCACTGACCGCCCCTCCCACCCCAGCCCAGACCCAGTCCTCAGTGCTGCACCGCGTGTCTCCATGGAAATGCCACTGTGTTTGCTCCCAGGCCTCCCACCAGTCAGGACAGCTTCGGCCACCTTCTCTCCAGGTGGTGGGACAGTGTCCCCGGCCAGAAGCCCTCAAGCCCACCCAGCCCCTCCTACCACAGGCCCTCCCCTGCTCCCTCCCAGGGTCGCAGCAGGGCCAGCCTCAGGCCCGGCAGCTCTTTGGGGACTGTCTTCCTGAGCAGACACTCGTCTGTCCCCTCCGATCACCTTCACTACTCAGCAGCTGGGCCCCTAGGGACCCACACCCTGCTGGCGTGGGGAGAGGGCTGAGGGCACTGGGCGGGCCCTCTAGCCAGGGGTCAGTGGCCACAGCACGCCGGTCAGCTCTGCGGAGAAAACACTGCCTGCGCCGCACGCACCCGCCCTGCAGGCAGCCTTCGGGCTCCCCGGGACGGCTGCTCCGGCACTGGCCAGCTGTGGTGTGCGCGTGCGTGCTGGGGCCCTGCACCTCTGCCTCTGGCCAGCGGCGGGCCCAGGTCCTTGCGCTGCTCCTGGCCATGGCCTTGGCCCTCCCCACAGGCTGCTGGCACCCTGACCTCCCACTCCAGACGCCTGGGCCACAGTTGACCAAGAAGGCGAGCAGCCTGGGGCCGAGCAGCTAGGGGCTGGGATGCCTGCCCCCATCCCGAGTCCTCGCTGGTGTGTCTCCCGGCTGTGGGTAGGGCACTGTGCTTGGCCCACACCAGGTTCAGCCTGACCCACGCCTCAGCTACTGTCACCCAGAAAATGGAAATGAGGCGCAGGGCCGAGTTCCAGCACGCACCTCCCAGGTGTTAGGGCCAGGCGTGGCCAGGCCGCCGAGTGTTCCCAGCTATGGTGTGGTCAGCCTCCCCCCCGGCACTGAGCAGGGAGAGGCGTGGGCTGCCACAGGTGGAGACCAGGGCCGCGGGCCCTGGCCAGCCAAGGGCCACGTGGGCACCAACAGGAACAGTTCTGGTGGAGAGCAGGGCTCTGCACCCCAGAACCCTGAGCACCGCTGCAGCTGCCTCCAGAAAGGAGGCTCTGGGATCTGGCTGGGGAGGTCACACTTCATCCAGGTCGTCGGAGGACACCCAGGAAGCTCCTGGGAGCTGGGCCAGACTGATTGCAGCCTGCCGTCTCTGGCAGCATGCACCCCCCTCCCCCCAGCGTCCCACGAGGCCAGCCTGCATGTTGAGACGGCTGATGTCAGCTGGCTCGCCCCAGTGCGCAGCTAGGTTCCCGGGCCCTGTGGCCACAGTCTGCAGGACTGTCCCTGAGAGCCCATTTGCCAGCCCCTGGTGGGCAGCTGGGCCTCAGTGGCCAGCCCTGCAGGAGGCCCAGCACACAGCAGCTGCCCAGCGTCCTCTGAGCGCAGGGCTGGCCTCCCTCTCCGTGGGAGAGGGCCCGGGGCCTGAGGTGAGGGGAGCTGATGCAGGCACCCGCCTTGGCAGACCCCAGCAGAGCCGCTCTGCCTGCCATGGTCCGGAGCCGCCCATCTCAAACTGGGTGGCAGTGGTGGTGGAGTCCTGTGGGCTGGCCCATTCAGAGGCCTGTCACCTGCCTTCCCGGCCTGGGGGCAGCCTGAGAGGAAGCGAGGACAGGCCCAGATCCCTTCCCGGGGTGCCGCTCAGCCCTTCCTGTCCTGAGCCACAGGGCTGCTGGACCCTCCCGTCGGGGGGGGCATCGCCCTTGGGCCACCTGCTTCGGGCCGGGGCAGAGCCGGGTGGGGGAGCTGGCCAGCCTGCCCCCGGACAGGAGCCCCTCGCGAGCCCAGCCTCACCACCAGTGTTAGAATCACACACACAGTATGTACTTAATTACACTAAATTATTTCTGGGAGTCCTTATAAGCACTAATTATACCTGATTATAGGTTAAAATATTTATTTTGTCAAAATACTTTCTTGGGGTTGTGTTTAACGTTTTCTGTTTGTTGTGCGGAGCTGTGAAGACCGACCTCCCCCTCCTGCGGCCTTGGCAGTGGGCAGAGAGCCGGCCGTGCAGTGTGACCGGGCCCTGCCCGAGCACCCCTGCCGGGCCCCAGGCCCTGAGCAGAGTGCCGGCTCTCGTCCGCATGCCCGGGACCCGGGTTCAGAGCGCTCCAGAAGGCTCGTGCTGGCCTGGGCCGGAGGGAACGGGACCGTCCATCTTGTGTTGGGGACTGGCTGCCTGGGCTCTGCCTTTCCCTTCCTCGCCCGGGGGTCCAGAGCGGCGTGGGCCCGTGTTGTCCTCCGGGTCCCGCAGCTGGGAGAGGGGTGGCGGGCCCTGGGTGGCACTGGCGGCAGGCCTTGGACTCAGCGTGGCTGGGGCACATGTAGCCAGGCCCACACTCCTGCTCCTCCTCCTCTTTCTGCCGACACCCCCACAGTTTTCTCCGCACACAGTGCTTCTCCCCCAGCCCGCCTTCCGGATGGTTGCAGGGTGCTGTGGGCCAACTAGGGAGAAGGCCCTCGGAGGACACTCTCGGCCCGGCCTCCAGCCAGCCCCTGCGCCTTGCACTGCCGTTAGGGTGGCTGCTCTCCCTGTCCACTCCGACGGAGCAGCCGGCCTCACCACAGCCCAGTGTGCGGAGACGACCGTGGAGCCTGCCTGTCCTGGTGCCCTCAGCAGTCTATCCTGCCCGGGAGGGTCCGAGCCAGTCTTCCCTGAAGCACCACCCGCCACCCCAACAACGGTCACCCCGGAGTCACGCTGCTTCTCTTCTCTACAAAACCTCCAGGCTCCTGGAGAGGGGGACGCGTATTTATTTCCTTGAGTTTGCAGTTCATGTGTGAGGTCCGAGGTTGTCGGGGGCAGTGGAGATGAGTGTGGTGTGTTTGCTGTCCGGTCGTCCAGCAGCCTGGTGTCCTGTCGCTCGTGGTGTCCGCAGCAGGGCCAGCTCTGGAGGGCAGGGCCGGGCAGGGCAGGGCACGCAGCTCAGATTGTCCACCCACCCGCTGGGCTCCTCCCAGGTCCTGCTCTCCACTGGGTCCTTGCATGTCAAATATTCACAATAAACACAACGTGATGTCTGCTGAGTCGGCTGCGATTGTCCGAAGGCTGTGGGCCTGACCACCCTTTCTTCAAGCAGAGGCCGCTGCAGGCCCCGGGCCTGGCCTGCTTGGGGCACTGGAGGTGGCTGCTGTGAAGGCCATCACCATCTGCCAGAGCTCTGGGGCTGGCCCCGGTGTGGGGGACGCGCCTCCCGCCCGGCATCCAGCACCTTGGCCAGCAGGCCTGGGGCGCCACCCCCTACCCCATCGGCCAGAGCTGGGTGAGGTGTTTGGTCTGAGCTGCTGCTCCGAGCGCCCCTGGAGGAACAGCCCCAGTGAGATGCAATCCACACAGCACACGGTTCCACCGGAGCGTGCAGTGCTTGGCCGTCTGCGCCCTGACTGCAGCCCCCGCGGTCCCTGCCAGAGCTCTCCCAGCTCTCCCGAAGGCCCCTCTTCAGCAGCCACTCCTGCTTCTCCGCCCCCCCCCCGCAGTGCTCCTCCCCTGGGCCCTGCTGCCCGCTGGTCTCCACACGCCCTCAGGGCACCTGCCCTTCGAGTGGCCCTTGAATCCCTTCCCCTCCCTGGGTTTGAGGATGGACCTCAAGTGGCAGACTCATCAAACACCCAGGTAAACCTGGAACAAACGCAGAGACATCTGCTCAGCCTCGGGTGCGCAGGGAAGGGAATGAGGTCTGCGGAGAGCGCACACGGCCTGAGGCCGCACAGTGTCAGCAGCAGAACAGCTCCCAAACCCGGCCTCAGGACCAGCAGGGGAGGCTGCCCCCCAACACTGCCCTTCTGGGGCCACACTGGGACAGCCACCAGCCCGGGCCAGAAGTGGCAGAGCCCAGCGTCCTTCAGCCAGGTGCCCCTGGGCTCCAGGGGACTGCAGAGACCCTGCCTGTCTCTAGCCAGTCGGAGTGAGATGGAGGCTCCACCCCAGGGGGAGCGTGGGTGTGGGCCTCGGAGGTGTGGGGACCCGCCATCCTGTCCCTGTGAATGGAAGGCATGGACCTGAGCCCTTTCGGTGCCCCAGCCCTGTGTGAGCTACTGTGGGCACCAAAGGCGGCCTGAGCTGTCCCTGTCCTGTGGAGAGTGGGTTGGCCCTGAGACACCACCGCGGACTTGCCAGGACATCTGGTCCACTCGTGCTTCCTGCCCACACTCCTGAGAGCCTGCTGTGGGCCAGGCCAGTGCTGGAAAAGGGGGCTGCTAGGCCCCTGCCCTCGGGGAGCTGGCAGCTTGGTTCAGGCTGGGCCCTGGGGCCCCTCCCAGGCTCTGTGGGAAGTGGGGCTGGGGGAGCAGCAGCTGTCGCCCCTTGCAGCAGGCAGCCAGCCACGGCGAGAGAGGGCGATCGTGCAACTCTGATCTGGCTAACCGGGCTTCCGGGAGGACCTCGAGAGCCCTGGCAGGCCCTGGCCAAGATGCATTTCCCAGTACCTTAAACAGAGGTTCTGTGGGGAGAGTTTGGGGATTGCTGGGGTAAAGTTAAGCAGTAGCAGGACCTCTTTGTCCAAGATGAGAGTACTTTGTAGCCCTGGCCGGTTTTGCTCAGTGGTTAGAGCGTCGGCCCGCAGACCAGAGTCCTGGGTTCGGTTCCCACTAAGGGCACGTACCTCGGTTGCATTTTGTCCCCGGCCCCAGTTGGGGTTGTG